GGTTTTCACCAGGGCCCCCCAAAAACCATTCCCTTTTTTAACGGTTAGGCCGGTTTTCCCCCCCCCCCCCCCCCCCCGCTGATATCGGTAGGATAGATAGATTAGGCAAGATATTTTTGAGCCAACTTTGGCAAAGTAGGAAGGAACGATTGTCCACCGGTGATCGGTCCTGTGGGAACAATGCTCCGTCCTCTGGAGGGCGGGTGGTCAATGGTTTAACCGTTAAGGCATGCAAAAACATAAGAATACGCCCCCCCCCCCGCCCCTCCTATCAAACATCTCTTTCGTGCTGTGAAACAAATATCAACTTGCAGTTCGAGCTGTACGTGAGCCCTCCCCGTGTCGTCCTGAAGGCGGCCTCCTCCCTGTCCGACGCCGGTCTCGTCCCGGCCGCTCTGGTCTACGTCTCCTGGAGGGAGGTTCCCCCGACAGGTAATACGAAGACATCATGATTTTTCTTGGAGAGATGAGGAGGAGTTTCTTCGAAACCGACGGAAAAGCCTGTGGATCAGGCTAACTTTGCTCCGTCGCGAGAAAGAAGGTGTTGTTATGTGTTACGATAAAGGCTGATCCAGTAGAACATTGAGTCAGCGTTGACTCTGAGTAGCCTGTTGGATTTGCCGACGGCTAGCACCAAGGCTACGGCTACTAGGACGCTGAGCACCGCGACACCGGATACGCCCACCTCGCCGGCCCGAGCGGGGGAAAAAGCTACGGCCACTCCTCTGCTCAAGAGTGCGGGCACTCGTCTGACGACGGCACCCATTACGTGAAGAATCCTGAGGCCGACGAAGATTGTTCCTCCGAGCAGCAGCGTCAGACCCCCCCCTCCCCCCCCGAACATCACTGCTCCCTCCTCGTTCTCTTCTCCTGGTGCGCCTCCATGCTCGGGGCTGCCTCTCGCCCCGATGTTTATTTTTGGCAAGAGTGAAAGTGACCATCGGTCTGCTTCGAACAGTCAACGCGAGGAGTTGACCTTGAGGATGTTCCCGCCGACAAGTTGGTGGTTGTAGGTTGTGGTCGCCCTCTCACCGTGCAGTCTTATCATCGGTTGCGTAAACCTGCGATTATTCAACAGGACGACTATGGCAATCCGACGACTCTTCTCGGTCAAGCTGACTTCATTTCCTTGTTGTAGAAGTGGTTCTGCAACAGGCAAGTGAAGTCAGCCTGACGGAGAAGAGTCGGCAGGTCTCGGTTTCGTCATCCTGTTCATCTATTGTCGGTAGAATACCAGCGATTCATTCAACGGGATGACGATGACAACCCGACGACTTTTTCTGTGAATTTAACTGACGGGTCTGTTGCACGTGTCTGTTGCTGCAACAGACACGTCAGTCAACTCCACACTCAGAGTCGTCGGGTTGCAATCCTCATCTTGTTGGAAGAACCGAAGGTCTACGCTACCGATAGCCTGCACGGCGAGAAGACGACCACAACCTACAACGGCAGTAATACCTGTCCGCGGAAATATCTTGAAGGTCATAAATATGTTCTCGTCTGGTCGCGAAGCTGTTCCTCGCTGCCGAATCGGCTACCCACTTCTCGCTACCTGGCGGCCCTCCACGCTCAAACGGGAAGACGCAGACTCAACGCCAATCGTCATTCTTACCCTACCAAATAGAAACACCAGAGCGTGGCGTGCCTCGTGGCACCGATCGTGCGGAGGAAGCCCGAGGATGGAGGCGCACCAGGATTAAAAGAGCGGGAAGGGGCTGTGCTTTTTCGGGGGAGGGGACTGGCGCTGCTGCTCGGTGGACGATTCTTCACCGTCCGGAGGGCAGTACACGTAGCGGATGCCGCCGTCAGACGAGCGCCCGCCCCCATACGCAGAGGACCCGTTGCTGCGCCCCTCCCACGATGGGCCGGCGAAGCGAGCTTTTCCGGCGTCGCGGTGCTCGGCACCGTAGTGGTCGTAGTAGTAGCTCTCGTCGGAACAGTCTTCGTGTTAGCAGTCGTCATGGGCGTACCTGCCCGGAGCGCGGATGCCGTGGGCCTCTTCTCTGAACGGCCATCGCTTCTGTGGCGTCCCGCGGGCGTGCGATCCCCCGCGACGACGCCCTTGAAGAGGTCGCGGGATCGGCTCCAGCTACCGCCAAGCCACCACTAGTGTGGTGTTGCTGCTGCTCTTCTGGCCTCTCTCCCAGCGCCCGCCACCTCGCCCGGCCCCCGGCGGTGGTTTCCCTCCACGCTGCGTGCGTCCATACCGCCTCGATGATCACCGGCCTCCTCCCTCTCGCTCGCGAACACGCCGCTGCTGGTACCGGCAGTGCCATGCGTCTCGGACTGGCGGTAGCGGCAGAATCCGGCCGGGTCTTGTTCGCAAGCACCGTCACTTGTTTTCGACTCCCCCGTCGCCGTAGTCACGCTCTTGACCCCCAGCGCCACCACGGCCCTCGCTACGCCCCCCCTTGCCCCCGCGGCTCCGACCCCCCCCCCCCCGGACGCGAAAAGAGCTAGGGCCCCCCCCCCCCTTGCTCCTCTTGTGCTCCATGTCTCCGTGGGCGTCCCTCGCTGCAGTAGCCTCGAGTGCACGCAAAGACCAACACCTCTTTTGGCATGTAGGATTGAACCGTCGAACACGAAGGGAAGGCGACGAACAGTGTTCTTTGTTGGCTTCGGTCACATCTTTTTAACGTTCCTACAGAGGCAAGGCGCAGGCAAAGAGCTACTGCTCGAGCAATAGTCTATGTTTTTTTTCAGAATGACGCATCTCTAGTCCCTGCTCTAGCCGTGGATTCTCGGACCCTATTTTTGTCCTCATGGAATTTTGTGAAAACCCTCCAGTCCTTGTGCAGGCTCTCAGTGCTTTTCCGAACAAACGGGACGATCAGGTCCACGTACTGCAAGATTGACATAGGTAACGGAAACGAACTGCAACCCATGCGTTTTTTTTTCAAGTTAGGGCGTTTAACCCAACCGTCGGAGGGGAGATGATTGGTTGGGCTGCTTTTAGCCGTAAGGCCTGTGAATTCCGTGCAGCAACAGCCTCCGCCCCGCGTCAGCGATTGATGAAAAGACCCGCGGAGCAGAAAGAAGTGCGGTTGCCTTCCCTGGTGCCGACTCAGGCGGGGCACGGCTGTAAGATGCTGCCCGAGCGAATGCCTCCACCCTTTCGTTCCCACAAGACCGATTCGTCGCGGTGGAGGTATTCGCTCGGTTTCTCTTTCGCTCCTTGTTTTCAGGCGAAGAAGAGATTGATCGCCGTTTTGCTGACCCCCCCTTCCCCAATCGATTCTGTCACCCTGTTCGCTTCCTTCCCCTTGTGTCGTGCAGGCGAGGCCGAAGGGGCCTACCTCAAGCGAGAGCTTGTGTCTGGCTCAACACCGGGGGCGGCGGCGGCGGCGGCGGCATCGGCCCGCCCCGTTGGCGTAGCGCTAGATGGCGGCGCGAAAGGCTCGGAAGAATCGAAGACGGGGGGAGGGTCTGCTGGTGGCGGTAGCAGGCTAGGGGGCAAGACCGGAGGGGGGTCCAGCGGGGGAAAGCGGACCGGGAAGCCTAGCTGGCTGAAGATCAACTAGCCGTTGGCCGAACAGAAGTTGTTCGTGCGTTGTTAGGCTCACGAATTGGCGCGTGAAGCTGCCCTGACTGCTGTGGTGTCATCGCAACGAAATCGTTCTTTCTGGCGCCAGCTTTGTTATCTATATATCGTTGTGCGATCACGTTAGTTTTTTAGCGCGCTCGGTGTCTCGGCACCGGCGGGGGCAGGCGTAACTTGGACGGAAAGCTTCGGGGTTGGTGTCAAGGCCGCAGAAAAAGCGACCAGTTTTATTTTGGAAATACCACGTCGTGAGGTCCAGAACAGGAACCACGTTATGTTGGAAATGCCACGTCGTGAGGTCCTCGGAGACGCCTATTGTTTTCGGGTTTGCTGAATTTTTTCGGAGCCGAGCAATCGAGAGCTTGGGAAGTTGACGGAGGTACAGACACTCGGACACCATCGTTTGTTCTACTTCGAGGGGAGCCTTGACTGACTGCTGTGATATCCCCCTTACCGTCGACAGTTGTTGCATGAATGGACGCTCCGTTGCCTAAACGCACGTTCGGAGGGAGAGGTTGCAGTCGATGTGAGTGGTCGCTTTCCATTGTATTAAGCGAAGAGGTCACGGCTGAACAGCCAGGTGGCACGATTTTTTTTCTGTGCGTGAAAACGGCGTCCTCTTTTCAAGGGAAGTGCAAGCTACTCGACGTATTATATTTCCTCCTTTGCCCTTTGAATTACTTTGAGGAGGTAGGCCTTGTGTTCTTGTGGGCGAATGATTCATGTCCTCGTTTTTGTGCTCGTGGTCGACTGTCCTCCGCGAGAGCCTTCGCTGGGTCAATATATCGGGTACTGCTGTGACGCACGCGTATGGGATGAGAACGCGCGGCGCGCTCCAGGGTCTGCCCCTTAACCTCAAGCTGTTTGGCGCCGGGAGATGTGAAAGTTGATCTAAACTTCGATATTTCAACACAATGATGGAGCGGTAAACGTCGACATCCACTACGAAGCACGCCTGCGCAGAAAACATCTCGGTTTCATGATGTTAACTGCCGCACCTGCATGCACGAGTTGCCCGAGGCTCACAAGCAGTATGGAAGAAACCGCACGAACCTCCTGTACAGTTCGGAACTTCGCAGACGCCAAATACTCCGAGTACGACACACAAATCAGCAAAGACAAAGAAACAAGCCCGCCACGGTAAAATCATCGGGCCCCTTCTCGCCTCAAGCTGCACATGAGCGCTGGAACACTGCACACCACTCCGACACAACAGCGTGCGGGTCGAGACGGGGAAGAAGGACAAAACTACCCGGCCTGGTACGGTACGTACGAAAACCATCCCGCGAAAAACAACCACCATAAGTAGACAGACGCAATCAAAACAACAGGAACAACCGCCATAAGAAACACAATAGGAATGGCGACGGTAACAGCACCAACGGCAACGACCACGACAATGGCATCATCGTCAGCGTAAACAATAACCAATAACATCTTCGAAACACGACCGTTCGCGGAAACAGCAACAGCAATGCAAAGAACGGCCATGCATCCATGGAGTCTCCGATCCATCCAGGGACCATATCCAACCAAGTACTCTCTCTACGCAGCGGAGTAACGCCAATTCTTTCACGACGTCGTTCATCCAACGAATCATCAATCATCCAACGTGGTGAGCATGGCGACACCCCGCTGAACCCAGTGTGACTCCTCGAGGTGAGTAGCGAGCACGATGAAGCAGATGAAGTTCGTCGAATGGCCCGTCGTGCTCAGGATCCCCCGGCGGTCGGATGTCTTGTACACCGGGCACGCGTACGAAGGGGTTTCCACGATGTCTGACTTTCGCTGCGGCTTGAACCATATGATCGGGGCGCTCGAAAACAGCACCTGTCGTCAAAAAGGGCAGAAAAGGCACGTAGAGTAAGCCAACCCCAAGTTGTGGAATGAATGGAAGCTTGCGCCCTCGCCCAATACATTCGCTGAAGCAGCCATGAACAACACGTTTACAGTAGATGGCACGGTATTTAGGGGGTTTTAACAAGAGCACCCTAGCGCGGCCACCAGCTTCTATCTGGAGGAATATGGTCGGCATTCGTGCGAAAAGAGAACGCTCCGCACCTTTCAGACGATATTTAGGCACACTCGTGCATTTAGATGCGTTGGACAATGTCTAGACAATACCAAGCTGTTCAACAAGCAGGAAATGCCCCTGCGGTATACAGGGGGGGGGCAACGGCCTGAGAGCACGCCTCACATATGAAACCACTTGCACCAAACAGCATGTGACAAGTTTGAAGCTGCAAAAGGTAGCGCTTGCGTTGTAAAGGGAATATCTACAGAGAGCAGAACTTCCCGGGGTCCATCATGTCCCATCGTGAGGTGCCGTTGACAATAAGTAGGCACAACGCTCGGGTATCAATCAGTCTGTAGCGGCAGAGAAGCCGCAGAGGGAATGCAGGTTGTATATCTTGCCTTTGGTGAAGACTCGGCGAGGCGCATTTCTTTCTTGTCCCATTTCGCACCCTCCAGGAATAGTCCGTCCACATATACACCGTCTTCTGGGCCCTCCTCATACGAGTCCTGACGATAGAGACAACAAAATAAACGGCCATGATTCCTCCCGCATTTACCGCTACGACGAAGATGTTGAACACCTCGTTTTCGAAAGATTTCGTTTTTCCCGTGAACAACAACGAAGAACATGCGTGTGGGTTCTGCATGACAGACTTGAACTCCTCCAGCACGAGCAGTCCAATGGGCAACGTTGGGCATGCGAGTGTGGCTGGTTAGTTAGGTGAGAAACGTATTTCGATAAGCGTATATAGGGGTCGCCACCTGATCGACCCGTGCGTGCGTTCCTTGCACCTTCGAATGAAAGTCTCTTCAGGAGCAACCCAGCGCGTGTACGGGCTAGACCTTTCAACAACGAATCGAAAACGTACTACCTACAAGACGGCAGCAGGTGGTTGATCCACGTAGCAAACTAACTTGACATCGTTCCTGCCACATCGCAGCCGGGGAGACGCTCTCAAACAATTTGTATTGCCTCATGAAGCAGTTACCTTGGGCATTGATTCTTGGGAGAAGCCCACATGGTCGATGGGGATCGTATACCGGCGGGCGAAGTTCTGGCTCGCCCCGGTGAGGAACGCTTGCGTGAAAAAAAAGCTCGACACCCAGAACACCGGTGGTGGCTTGGTCCTCAGCCACCTATCATCACACCAGAAATACGCGGAATGAGAGGACGGTTGCCGAAAATCGATTAGTTTGTTGGCTGTGACTCAACCAATACACGCTCAATCGTGCAATGAGATGATGAGCAATTGGGTAGATACGCATGAAAATCAGCGGTTTCGTGTAGCAATCAAGGCGTGCGGATTCGAACATCTCGGGGTCGTTTTGCGGGGTCCGAGGAATTAGTGTGTTGCAGGCTATCTTGCTTGATTGCGTCGCTGTCGTCGCCAGCAGCGTTTTATTGTTGGGTCTTTCGTGGGTACAAACGTGCAAGATGCAGACGATATCGGAGCTGGTGCCCCCGTAGTTAGCCAATCATTGGACATTGCTTGAGTGTTGAGTGTCTCTCGTAGACATTAAGATATACATGGTACGAATGCACGAACGAACGCGTCGCACATACACATGTGCAGAGACTAAGTCGCCGTCTTGCAAACTTTTACCGGTGTCGGGGTCAGCAATCCAAGACTGCGACAACAGCTATTTCCTGGGCTGGTGGTTACGAAGGAGATAGATATCGTCGCGATTTTTTGGGAGAAGAGACGCGTGCGGGTGCCGCAGACGACTTGTGCTGCGGGGGGTCGTGCCAGCGAGGTGTTCCTCACGAAGGCCACACAAAAGAAGAACAAAGACTCTGACCTGGCTGACCAAATCTCGCCAAACTGCGGTGAAGTTTTCGCGAAAATCTGACAAAGAAGCTGCAAAAGCCCATTTCACGAGATGCTGCATAGCCAAAACTATTGAAGAAAACGATACGATTAGCACGAACCGGTCTTCTTAGGAGAGCAAAGTGAGATTTTCCGTCAAATATACAAGGACTATACTCACTTCCCGAAGAACGCGAGGCGTTGCAACAGATCCGTCACATATCCGGCGAGGGATTTTCGCGACGGATAGCTCGTGGGTTTCCACATCGTCGGGATCGTCCCGAAAAACAGCTCGTTCCCCAGCACCTGCAGTGGAGTTCATGGTGCGAGAGAAAATGACGAGGGGATCGCTTTTTCTTCGACGCACCAGCAAACATCATACATTGCATGCACCTTGATGATGACCGCAAGTCTCAATGCCTTACAAAGGGCCAATGGCATTAACGGGTTTTGTTCTTGCCCTCCTCGTGCATGTTGTGTCTGACGAAGCCGTTGGCACATCGAATCTGGCCTATGGTACTACGTGCGGCATGCTTGACAGCAACACCTAGTAGTAATTGCTTCGTCCTTGCTGTCCTTGTGCAACGACGCAAGCATCCTGCCAATCCCATCCTACCACATCACTATCAATTACCCGTCGCTGTCTCGTTGTTGCCATAAGCCCCTTTGGCTGCCAAATTGAAAGTGGAACAGTTGCCGCTAGAGAGTAAGGTGGTTGGTGCGGCAAAATCAGTATCAACGAACAGACCACCCCCCCCCCGCATACACTTGTCATCACCTCTAGATCAGCGCTCATGACGACAAGCCCCTTGACCGCCCTCTGGATGCTGACGAGCGACGACTTGATGGCGCCAGTGAGGTTGTTAAATCGCTGCAGCTCCTGGCAAAGGACGGTGTTCATGCTCTCGTCCCATCGCACCGGGTAGCGGATCTGCGCAGCCTCCATGTCGAACTCGACAGGGACCTAGAGTGCAGTTCGGAGAAAACCAGCAGTTCGCAAGACCAGGATTGATTGCAGCAATCTAGGCTTCCATCAATGCCTACCACCGTGCGAAGACCCAGACGATCTGACTGCGTCATGAGGTAGTAAGATTTTCCCCCTTTTCAGTACAGAAGTACCATACCCAGAGATTCATACGCAATGACCGAACGAGCCCATACGTGGAATGGATTATAATCGTAGGTCGTTCATTCACCCGCAGATGGTAGGTGGCCGACCAACCCGTTCGTGCAGACTCTCAGCTCCCTGCCCGCAGAATTCACCCACCTCTCGCCGACAATAATTCCACCCTCAATGCTGAGTCATTTCTCTGTTTCGTTGTCACTTGTCCACTATGAGCAATATTCTCCGACTCTGCCAGATACGAGGCCTAGAGGAAACGCGTTCTCGACAGCTTACTCAATTCCTTACCCGTTCTCAAGGCCCTATCAGTCCCGCCTGTGCTTTTTCTGTGAGTTGCCTTTCTACTTCTACGCTAAGCCGCATCCCACCTTCGACAGAATATCAGCGGCAACGTTGCTGATGGTGATTTCCTTGTCCGCACCGCCGGAACCTCCGCCGCTCGACTCCGTGAGCAGCACGGACTTGAGGAGCTGCGCCGTGTCGCTCTGCGCCCTCGTAATGGAGGCATTGTCGTGGAGGCCAAACACTTCCGGCGCGGCCGTTAGCGGTAGACTCTGTTAAGATGTCGGTATGAAGTGGGAGTGGGTTGTGATGAAGGTACTCGTGTATCTGATCACAGCGGCAAACTATATATCTTTTATTCCAGCGTGCGGCGCGAAGAGTAGCTTCTGTGCGGAAATTCGATTTCGAGCGAGTACGAAACATCGACACTCTTGCATCGAGCGGTGCTGGGCGGGGTATTGAGGGCGCCTTCAGGAAGCAATCGTGTAGCAAACAGCCGACCGCCAAAATCAAGCGGAGACAAGGTCGGCTTACCTCGATGTACTCCAGGTAGGCCTTGCGCGGGCCGTCAGGGGGCATCACGTAGTCTCCGCTTGCCGACAACAGCGCTCCTGTGACGTGGCGAGAAGCAAGCGACAATGCGGGAAACAGAGGTGTCGGAGAGGAACATAATACGGTTTGGTGCCGACGCGACGCCGCTGACGGGGAATTCCTGCTAGCGATCGAATCGCCGAAGTTCAGTGTCCCAAAAACAAGCACATGTCGTGGCCTGCACTTCAGAAAGACACGCAGGAAATCATCCGCCTTCCTCTTTGGCTTGTAAAGTTAAGCAGCCAAAGCGAATTCCAAAGCGGGGTAGATCTGGGTGACGCAGCATCCAAAGCTGCACGGAAGTATGACGACAAGCACCAGACAATGGAACAAACGCAGACAATGAAACTCGAACATGTATTTATTACTTCTACATATTTACCCACCATCCTCAAGCAAGTTGCTGTGGTACATGCGGTGAAGGACGCTATGCAGCGTCCGCCTGTCCTTGTCGTCGGTGACCCTTCCACCGTAGTTGCACTCCCCAGCAGTGTAGTTCAGGGCCTTGAACGGGACTCTGATTTAGGGGTCGACGAGTGGACCAGGGGGACGGGCTTGCTTTAAGGTTTGCTGAAAACGGCAGCGATTTTGAGCCCTATCCCTCGTCCACATACATAGACTTTGTAGGGGTGAGCATTTTTCTTCTATGCAGTTTCTGTCTGATCTGGAAATGATTCACCGCCGTTGTCATTTCCCTTCCAGGCTTTTTCAAAATTCTGACGAAAAAGGTTGTGCCTTAGCTGGTTCTGTGGTAGTGTCGGAGTCGACCGCATGTCTGCCTTATCTCACAGTAGTTCTTGTTGCAACGTCATGAGGTAGGCTTCTAGCGCCTGCTACTCCCAACGATCACCGGTACGTTTTTCGAAGGGTATTTCATCAAGACAAAACGCCAAACAACGTTGGAATGTCATTCCGCCATGCGATAATCAGCAGCGGCGACAAAGGACGCTTTCGCGACACGCAAAGGAGGAATTGAGCTGTTTCGCCCTCGAACATTGGTCCTTTGCGAATTGTGCTTGACATCATTCACCAACCTCTGTTTCCAACAAGATTAGCTGTTGGTGTGAAGCGCAAGCGACGTCGCGAGGCAATCACCGTATTTGTCGGCACTCCAAGCCTCCTGGACGCTCGTTCAGCCACCAGATAGATGGCAAAAAGAAAAACCTCCAAATTTCCAGATTGTGGATACACCAACAGCAGAGGAGATGTCGTGGGAATATTCGCGACATTCCTCAAACAGCTCATTCCTTGTACGGGTCAATAGCGCTGGTGTGTGGACGCGTTACCTTGCGTTCTCGTTGAGGAACATGGCAAGCTGCTGCACCGAAATCCTGAGATCCGACTCGTTGAACTCGTACGGGATGTTCCACCCGATCGGCCCGTACATCCTCCGCTCTTGAACCAGCGCGTGGAAGAAGCACAGGCCGAACAATAGCTTGCGAAACTCGGGCCCTGTTCCGAACAAACAGCGAAGGGGTGCACGTAAGTGGTGCAGTAAAACGATCTGCGGCGATGGTGGTTAGCATTGATTGGACCGCAAGTCCCTTCCGAGACTTGGAGCGTAGTGCAGACGACAAAATCGTTCGATCCAGCTGCCTGGACTACCTCGCGGAACATCTAGCGTGATGGACCCACCACCTCTGCAAACAGCGCGAACAACACGTGGAGGACGTTGGATGGTACCACTGGAATGGCAGAGCGAAAAAGCGGTGTTCGCTAACGGCCGCGACCCACAACTACGAGGTTACGACATTGAAACGACGACAAGCGCAGAATGAAGCAACCACGATATGCCCCAAGGCTAGACACCAGTAATGACGAACGCGGGTGGGTATGTCGTACGATAGTAAACACATCACGGTCGTTAGTGCTTTGACGTCTGCGTGACGATCCGACTCGACTTTGGCGCAGGCCTAGACAGACGGTTTTCTCTATGAAGTAGGACCGGAGCTGCAGAAGTGGACTGAAGGCCTGGTACTCATCGTATGATCTACATGTAGTTCCTGATCGATCCACCCCGAAACCGAACAACCTTGGTTGGGCGTACCCCGGGTGGCGCCTTCGAAATCATTTATCGTGACCAAATCTACTTGCACTACCTTTGGTGCACGACTCGAAGAAGGAGTCATCCGAGATGGGGTCGGAGCTGTAGGATGCCTTGAGGTTGGCCCGTAGCCCTTTCGGCGCCTCGATGGTCATCTTGACGCCGTTTTGCAGCACCGACACCGGGAACACGTCCGACGGGTATGTCGTGCACCACAGCCGGAATGCCGCGTTCGTCACATCCGGGTGCAGACTTTCCGCCTAATAGACGACGGTGAGGAAAGGCAGTTGGTTTGGAGGGGAGAGGCATGTTCCCGTCAAGTCCCAGCGAGAATTTCGGGTGGCGGGGTTGTCACGGTTTTCACATCCAGATGAACGGTTCCAGCCTGGCAGGCACAATATAAGATGGCGATGGAAACATGTTTGCATCCTTACGGAGGCGACGGTCGGGTGACGAAAGTTACTCAAACTGACGGTTTTACAATGCAAGCAGGGAGATGGGTGTGAGGCATATGCCGTACTTGATGGGTAGGATTGGCCGGTGGTCGACTCGTGGTAGGTCGGTTGTGGCGGCTGTGCTTGGTGGGCTGTCTATCGTTCGAACGCCCCCCGTCGGTTGCCCACACTCACCGTCTTTTCCAGAGCCGTCATCCACGAGGGACAGAGGTGGCAGTTCTGGAGCACCACCCAAGACCCCTCTACCTGGGCTTTCTCGATCATCCTTTCGGCAACTGGTCCCTGCCCCTGGCCCAGCGAGATGTAGGACACCTGTTGTGTTGATCAGGTTACGGGCGATAAATGGACCGTTGGAACCATCCCCTAAAGAGGCATGCACCGCAGAAAAGTTGTTCTGCGTGACGCCGAATTGGAGCTATTCAACTCGAAAGGCAATGCAGCAGGGTAGTTTGGAATCACCGTCAACGGCTCAAAAATGAGATTAATGAACCTCATAGTCAACTGTGATTTTCTTACCCTTCGCTTCCCACACATACCGTTCCACATGGTACAAGTAAATTGAAGCATGCGTTCGGCACGGGCTGAAGCAAGCTCTTCGCTCATTCACCTTCACCCCCATCCCGTCCGCGGCCTTGAGGACGGCCCCCATTGGGTCGGAACCCGGGCTAAGGATGAAGACTAGCGGGGTAGCGCAAGAAGAGTCGTCGAAGCACGCGTTCAGGTCGAAAACCGGGGGCTTGACGAATCGTTCTCCCATCTTTGACACCACGAAGCTCTGCACTCCCGTTGCAACCTTGTCGGCACGGATGCACCTTTTCGGTGTGAGCACGCCGAAAGGGGAAGAGAGGTGTCTTGTCGGGCGTGCCTACATTGAGCAAAAGGAGACCACACACCAACTTTGGGGTGGTACCATTTGCGGGTGTACGGTTGAAAGAGTAGTGTACATCCTTCACGGGGGTCAGTGCGGGGTCTGACCAAAGAGAGTGTATACGCGACTGCAGTTCTGGGATAGTATTGGCTCTGTCATACGTCGAGAATCGCCTTGTTGGATTCAAAAGAAGCCAATATATCATGTATCGTCCTGAACGGTGTTCCACACGGATGAAGGGATCGGCGTCACAATACCGTAGTCGAGCAATTAGATACGGCAAAGCACGGCGCAGGAAGGGTTACCTCAAGGTGCAAAGCGCTCGGATTCCAGTGAGCTCGGCCGCCCACCGCCCAGGCAACGGCTCCTGTTCGGGATCTGTTGCGTCGTACACTGCTTTCCACCCGTCCTGCTGAGACTCGAACTCGTCCCGCAGGCCCTTTCGTTCGCGTTCGTGGTAGTTGGTGACCGCGTTGTCATGACGTGCGGCAAACGAAAGCGAGAGTTATGGGTGCACGTTGAACAGTGTCTAGTTTGCATATATCGAGAAAGCGTACCACGCTCGCCGTAGCTCAAGAGTACTGGATCACAGGTCTTCGGGTGAACCAATACAGCACGGCCTTGAAACGGAAGCTAAACTGTGTGAATAAAAAGATAACAACGCGGTTGATTGGTCTACGTATCAAGATCATTCAAGTTGGATATTTCGAGTGTGAAACGTTGGCCGGGCAGGCGTCATAATCGCACCCGTCTGATGCAATTTCTCCCCGTCTTGTCACAGATCTTCCTACGACCACGCGAAACAACAGGACAACAAAAACGCGTTGAACAACCAAAAAACACCGACACCTACGTCAAACGCGGGTAGCTCGGCAAGGCGACACAAGGCGTCCCAATTCTTGCTCTCCAACCACTCAGGACAGGGGTTTTCGTGCGGGTTGTCGAGCCCAGTACCCCCGGTCAGGAAGAACAGCCACTCCGCCTAAGCACCATTTGCAGTGGTCATAAGGTCCAATACATTGCGATGTTATGAGGTGGGGGAGTCTATGACGAAAACAATGAGGGGGGGGCGATTGGAGTCAAACAAAATAGCCATTTGGTCGGGTGGCATATAGTGCTGCGCTAGGCGGAAGCGAGTTGCGCACGATGCCATGTCCATGCTGCCAACCAAAGGTAGGATACCGTGGTCAGAATCCGAGAAGCTGGGAAATACATCGCTCAGATTTCTCACGCCATTCAGTCAAGAATGTGCTGTGCTCTGCCATTGCAACTTCCCCGCAGACCATCCATTGAACTTGACCGAACGCGGCCAGCGTTGTTTCAAACACGTCGGCGAGCAGAATGAGCGTTCCCGACGTGTCGTACTTGCAATCTTTGCTCTGCAGAATATGAGCGAGGCGAACAAGAGGAATATCACCTGGTCGACCTCCCCCTTGCCGCCCATTATTCTCGTGCACAGGAGGAATGCAAACAGCAGCTTGTCCTTCTCCAAAAGGCTCCGGCACACGTTCTAGAAGGCAACGCAACCCGCGTCGCCATGATGCCATAGTCGCATTGTTAGAGAAGGGTTGCATCGAGCGGAAGAAACAGAGGCGAACACCACGGAAAGGTTAGGTGTGCTCTTGTCGTGTGAGGACAAGCTTTGCCGCAGGGATTCTGTTCCAGTGGAATATGGTTCAACAGATATGTTCCTCTCGTATTACAGGCGTATACAAGGAATAACAGGCAGTACAGACCAGGGCTGGTAGATGAAGATAAACCGGTGGCGTTACGTTTTGGAGCAGGAGTGCTCTCGAGAATCCACGTCTCGAATCTACCCCCAGGCCTACATTTCGCCAAATCTCGCCTAGAACAAGGTGCCGGAACAACGGGTGTCCGTTGTGCAGGCTACGAACAACGACATAAGGAAATGTGGGTTCAGGCCCCTGCCTCCATATGATGGGCACCTTACTAGTTCGGATTTTTCCGTATCCTGACCCCGCTCTTCTCCTAGACATACAATGTCCCAGAATGCTCTTTTTCTAGTTGTTCTGGCCCCCCCACATCTGAAATCAACGAAGTGTGCTACAGGGAGTATTGGCGGTTTCCAGGCGTATGAAAGAATGCCGAGTGCTTGATGACTTCACTCCACGTCCACTAGTTGCGTAATTCCTCTCGAAGAATGGCACCTGGTACAAAGCGAACGTGAAGTGCGTGTCCAACTTCTCGAGACGTGTGGGGATGTCCCTGCTCTTTTCACTCCTGTGTATGCTCGACACGAAGAGGTTGATGAACCAGGTCAAGCTGTACTGGTACACCGGCTCGATGTTGGCCAGGTCGGAGATGCAGAAAAACAGGATCTGACTGGAGTAGGCGATCGGCGTGTACCCCCGGCGAACCTGGAGTACGAGAGTAGAGGACGAGAAACGGAGAGGGGAGTACCGATAAAGGTGTGTCGAAACTGGGCGTCAACCTGAAAATCACGGTGCGACCAGCAGGTGAAACAGGCTCGAACGGGATGTAGCCAGCGTCTCCCAGAAGTTGCCAACAGAACCGACGACGCAATGGGCGCAGAGCCGCGAGGGTATTGCCTTCTCTCCGTTGGGAACAACTCAATCGTTGACGATACATTGTACGAGATATATCGGGACAAGGACTCGGAACAAGCGTTCATCCAAAATCTACAGGAGTCGGGGTGGGTATGAGCCCGAGACTTCGATTTCTACAGGGGACAGATTTTCTGCTTATATTGTAGGGGGTGAAGAACGTGCGTCCGTTGAATCCCTTAAACACCCGAGGGAATCCCGCAGTCCTTCTCTGTTGCAGCACACACCTCATCGATATCCTTCTCCGTGTTGTCGGCGACCACTTGCTTCACCTTGATGTCATCGGAAAGTACCTACCATTGTCGAGAGGAGAGCCGGCAAGCAAGTTGTGGCAGGGCGACGACGAAGGAGCGACAAATATATTAAAAAAAGTCAGCGGTGGGCGTGCTTTGCCACTTGGAATCCTTTCATTGTAAATATCTACTTGTTGTTCGACCCGGCCGTTGATGCCGTTATTTGAGGGCCGACCCAACACGTTAGGAAGGGCGGTGGAAGCGACGTAAGATGCGAGTAACACATGCGCTTTGGCCACCTGTTGATAATGCTCCACATTCTTGATATCTACATCAAGCTTGAGTAGACAGAAAGCATGCATCACCGTTCCCGTGAACACGCCCTTGAATCGTCCATTTCCGTTTCCCCACCGAACGTTCGATTGCATTAATAATACATGTGTAGCACATGAGGCATGTTCTATCCTTGACGTCGATTGGGAGAGTTATGGCTGAGGTGTTGTCCTTTCGGGAATTCTACAATTGAAAAGGGGATGTATCAGGGGGGGTGCTCATGGGCTCACATTGTATCGTGCGGAGCAATGTGGGGTGCGCGGTAAAACCACAGAGAGAAGTTCTTTAGTCTCTCGTGGGATTAGCCAACAACAAGCTGAACACTTCATTCAGCATCTTGTGGGACCAACAACAAGCGCTCTGTCTCGCCTTTGACTGGGATAGCGTCTCGATGGCCGTCTGGTCTTCCAAGATGTTTCCCTCCGAAGACGACAGGATATGAAGGATCTTGTCCTCGATTTCTTTAAGGGTGCGCTTGTTCTCCGCTCCCGCCAGGATAAGCTTGTTCTTCTGCTCTTCCAGATCTGGCCGCTCGTTCTCGACCACAATGCCGAGCAACTAGTTTTCAGTGGAATGTTACAGAGCAGGTAGGGTCGGGTCACACACACGGAATTTGGAGTTCTCTTCCGCGTTATATGATTCGCCATGGTGTCATTGTCCACAAGACGCGCCGTGCTCGATGAAATGAACGTAATCCCGTTTATTTTCTCATGCCAGCAACAGCTCTTGCTTGTCGGTGCACAGTGCAATGTGCCCCACACCCGAGTACTCTACGCGCACCACGATACCACCAGATGGAAACGAAGTGCTAGAATACAAATCTTCGGCCATAACCAACACATCGCGGCCGAAAACCATTTTTTCCCAGCATCCAAACCAAAGGCCTCCCTTCGTACCTGATCCTGCAGTCCTTCTGGGGTAATCATGAAGTTGAGCAGGGTGACCTTAACGCTGATCTCAGGCAGGTAGTGCGGGTTCCTCAGCTTGGTCGTGATGTAGAATCGGAACGTCTCGCTGTACTCCACGGTTGAATCTCCCAGCCGGATGCAATCGCACCCGCCCTGCTTGAAGATCTGCTTGAGCAGCAGCGGCTCCAGCGAAGGGTCCAGCTCTTCGCCCACGTTTTCCAGAAGCACCGGCTGCCCGAACTGTATTTTGATTTTTCGTTGCATCAGTGTTCCACAGGATGAGAGCAGGAGGGAGAGGGGGGGGGAACTTCGGCGCGATGACAAGAACAGATTGAGTGAACGAAGAACCTAGAGTCGAGTTATGCCAGAGGCAAGCGGCCACCGTCCGCGAAACCTTCCCCTCCTCACCTGAACGGCATTCTCCAGAGTCCGCAGGTAGTCCCCGTCGGTGAGCTTGATCACGGTCAGCTTGTTCTCCCGTTCCAGGTTTTGAATCCACTGCTCACAATCGTTGTTGATCATGTTGGTGGCGGTGTCGTGGCGTAAATGTTTTCGATGAGAAATTGTTGGCAAGACAGAGGAATGGACGACTTAGGAGGCGCACTATGGTTTGACCGTCATTGCCATGTGCTGTTTCTCATACCTTGTTGGCCTGCCCTTGAGGGTCGATCATTAACGGCCATCTCCTGGCGTTGAAGACGATGATGCCGTTGTCCACGCTAAAACCATCTGTTGGGAGCCCGTCGATGTTCCACTGGCGGACTAATACCGGGTCCCCAAGCGTGCCTGGTGATTGGTGAAAGCAGGAACCCCAACAAATTTCGAACGAAGGTGTGGTACAGAGTCGTCAGTATTGGGGAATGTACTCCTCGCCCAACTTTCCTCGGTGAGCCCGAGGCTCGGACAGGATCTGGGCGGACGTACCTATCCAATCTACAATGGCAGATACGAAGGGTTGTCGACGATGGGACGTGCAGTTCAGCAAAACGGCTCAAGTTCCGTCTGACCAAGAGTTGACTCCCCAACGAGGCAGAACCACACGCCGATAGGATTGGCTTGTCTCGGCGAGCCCCCTTTTGATACGATTCCCGCCGTTGTTCGCGCGCATAGGAGCTGAACTATCGGCGTCATCACTCGCACCGACATGTAGAATGATTCTCTCCCGAAGTTCAAAACCAGACGGGCGCGAAGGTGAACTCGAGACGAACAGGGACCGATTGCGACGATCCCTTGCTAGGGCACCCACAATCCCCAAATTCTCACCCGACAGGGTAGGGCTTGCGGAACACGGTATGTTCTTGTCCTTGCACAGCGACACCCAATCCCCCAGCTGCCCATTCCTGAAGGTGGCCGTGAAGGGACCTAGGTAGGCCATCACACCGGCCGACACCAACACGTCTCCAGTGAGATTGACGTACTTCACCCCGAGGCGGTCTGCGGACTCCAGCCACCGCGCCTTCTCGCCGCCCAGGCCCTCAATCAGCTGCTCCCAATCCAGCCAAAAAATCGTTTTTTCAGGGCGGCGGCGGGGCGGGTAGACAAGCGTTTGCGAAGCTGCAGGTGGCAGGGTAGATCGTAGGTATGATGTTTTCACGTCCCTGATCAACGTTCCGTGGACTCGATCAAACAGTTGCAAGATTACGGGAAAATGCCGAAGAGAGTTTGCGGACAACTCGAACAAGAGGTCGGAGCAATCAGCTACACAGAAAACCAAATGCCACGACAAATAGAAATGCTTTTTCTCATCGCGGTAGAAGCACCAGGTAGAAGATTTTCGATTTCGGATTTTCGCGCGTTCTTCGCGCGCTCTTCCTGATCCAATTTCCTCCCATTGCCCCTGTACCCAGATATCCCTACCTTCCTACCTTGTATCCCCAAACCTTGAGCCCCCCTGCCTTACCGTCGTCGCGCGTTCGAGCTTCTTGTTGGTGTTGTCCACCGAGTTTTCCAAGTCCGCCTTCTTCTTCAAAGCGTCATCGTACTGCCCTTGAAGCGCGGCGAGGCCGTCCTCCACCGCTTGAAGCTCCGCCTGCGTAGTATTACGAATGCAATTTTTTACTCAAGGTGTGGTTGATGAGTAGGGTAGGTGAAGCAGAGGAAAGGTCGATATTGTAGTTAACAATGCTTTCTAATGTTTTTCCCTCTCATTGTTGTCCATAAACCCTTCATAATTCTATGCATGAGTTTTGTTTGAAAAGGATGGGGTTAAAGGGAAGACGTGACCCACTTACCCAATAGGCGTATGTCGCCACAGGCATGAAGACGTAATTTCATTTTTTCGCCACGGTGAAATTATCGAAAGTAACACATGCAAGCGTCTTGCCTGCTTAGCCCTGAGTTGCGCCATGGTAACCTCCAGTTCCTCTTCCGCCAGCTTGAGGGCTTCCTTTTTGGGTCCTACCACCTGTTTGGTGGTGCGCGCGCGGGAAGCTTGGTGGTGTTATCGCTACTCCAATAGAGTGGCGCTTGACCAACGTGAGCGGAGACTGTTTGTATAGCAGCAAAGAAAGTACAGGCAGCGTGGACGGAACATCTCACGACACCAACCCCTCTATCAACGACAGCCATCGAGCCCGCCAGAAATCTAACGACAATAACGACAACAACAACAACAACAACGACGACGACAAAGACAACAACAACAACAACGACAACAACAACGACAACGACGACGACGACGACAACAACAACAACATCAATAACAACAACAACAACAACAACAACAACAACAACAACAACAACAACCGCAGCGTAACAGTGTTTGGCGGCTTCCTACCTTCGCGACCCTATCGTAGGTCTCCATGGCGTACACCCATTTGCACAACCCTGCCGCAGCCTTCGAGGCCTTTTCGGCCGCCTCAGGAGTGAAACGAGGGTCCGTCACGTATTTCTTCCGGATCTCGGCCATGGTCTTGGCGGGAATGTTGTCCTTGTCGTACCTGTCAGAAAGGGGTCAGCGAGATCGAGCGGGTTGATATTCTTAGGAAAGGCCCATGTGCCGGACTGATGGTGAGAACTACGCAGTCGAGACTTCCCCGACCACAATCCAAATAGGTTGAGCACGCAGACAGAACATCCTCCGTGCTTGTGGCCTTGTTCCGAACAGTGTTACCCCCAAGAAGAAAAACGTACGCAAAACCTACGGTGCCAACAATGGTCCCCGTACACAGCGGTGTGTGTGCGTGTGTGTGCTTTTATTATTGGCATCGACCGCGCTAACCGGCTGACCAATGAAAATACGTCAGTCTCAGTGCGGTTTAAAACAGTGTGTGTGTGTGAGAGAGGGAGAGAGAGAGAGAGAGAGAGAGAGAGAGAGAGAGAGAGAGAGAGAGAGAGAGAGAGAGAGAGAGAGAGAGAGAGAGAGAGAGAAGCACCGGAGGAGGCATGCCAACAACACAAGTCACCCTTTGAGCTGCGCGATGAAGTCGGCCTCGCCGAGCATCTTCTGGCTGGGGCCCCAGAAGTCCATGATCCGTTTAGAGGGGTCCTCCGGGTCCGGTATCCTAACCGGCTTGATGCCGAGCATGACGCAGACGGCCTCGCAGACCACCTTTACGCCCATGGGCGGCTTGGCGAGGGCTTTCACCTCGTTGGTCTCGGACTGCTTGATTGTGTCCAGGGCCTGGGGTGGAAGAGTGCGGTGGTGATCGTGGCGACGGAGTTTGGGCCATTGTGTTGAGTTCGTTAGGTATTTAATAGGCATACTATCGAGCCAAATACGGTGGTACTTGATCGCAAGCAGGCGAAGCGGCTGAGGAAGGGGGGGAATAGGGGTTTGAAGAAATGTTATGGGAATATGAACGTTACGCGAAAGATTTTCGGCTGGCGGCACGAGTATTTCAAGTAGCCTTTTTCGGTCCTCTCCTAATCACAACGTTCCGACGGACTGTCTTACGACACATTTAAGAAAAAAATTCTAAGCGAAAACATGGGTACAAATCTCCAAGGCTTGGATTACGATCAGCTGGAATTCACTTGCCACGCACTCATCCGTGCTACCAGGCACAATTACCTTGTCCGTCCAACTTCGCGCGTACCTTGATAGCAGCGTCCAGGGCAGGCATTGCGACGGACAGATCAGCCTCGACGGACTGCTTTCCCTTCAGGCACTCTGCTGCCTCCGCCTCGGCTACGGCGGCGTCGGCCTGGACCTCCGTCCGCTTAAGCTCCACGCCGGGGAGCTTGTCCTTGATCTCATCCATGAGCACCTCGGTGTCCATCTGGGACTGCGCCAGGACGGGCTTAAGAGCCTCCAGCTCTTCCTGTTGGACGTGGACAAGCCCGCGAGGAGGCACTCTTTAAGGCTAAGAAAAATGGATGGGCCAGCTTTGCACAACATGTATCGAGAGTGCCGAGCTGCCTGGCAAGCAGGAGATGTCACGCATCCATCAATTCGTTGCTCGGACGTCGAAAAAAATACCTGGTCAATCAGCATGATGTCGACACCCTTAATGGCCAACCAAGCAAGCCAATGCATTAACTAAGCAGAGGCGTTCAGTACATCATTGGAAACAGACTTTTCGTGGTGATGTTATGCTAGTAGGAACAAGCAAGCCGTCTTCCGACCTGCATGGCGTTGACGCTTTCCGTTGCGAAGGCGAGTTTTTCGAGCCCGACCTCGTACCGCTTTTTTGCTGCCGAGATCTCGTCTCTCTTCGCTGCCAGGGACGTCTTGAACGCCGTGATGAGCTCTAGGTAGCTTTGGGGTTCGACGAGGGGAAATTTGACAAGTTCCAAACAGACGGTGGTGGAGGGTTTGAAAGGAAGCAAGACGGACTGATGCATGCTGATGGGTAGAAGCCAGCTGGGTGGAAGATGCATCAACTATGCTACGTCTCCTTCAAGACGGATCCAACGTCGGTGTTCGTCGCTGGCGCTGACTATAACTCTCACACAGCTGCAGTTGGTGGGGTGGTACCTATTGTTAGTTCTCCACACATCGAAACCAACATCGACAACATGTTCACAATCAGCTTCGAACATGTCCACAACAAAGGGCAAGCAGAAAACCTTGTCCCTTTCCACAATCGGAAGTCTCCGTTTCTCTCGAGTATCAACCACAAGGCGCGGAGTTAGATCCGTCGCTCAAAATCAACTGAGCCGCCAACGAATTCCTTACGCCCGACTAAACCCGAAACTTGAGCATGGGGTCAAGTGTCAAGGCGGAAGTGGGGTATCCCCTGGTTCAATGCCGCCCCTAACGTCTGGCCCTGAACACGGTACCTTGTCGGCGTGACGTAGTTCTGACGCTTGAGCTTCGACAAGAACTCCGCGGACAGGACCCGGGTGTCTTCGTGAAATCGCTGGCAGCTCTCCACGATAGAGCGGCGGGTATCATCCGAGTCGAACTCGACGCTGGCCAAGAACATCTCCGCCACCGCGACGAGGGCATCTCCGGGCCACGCCGTGAACCAATCTTGATAGATACGCGTTGGTTTCACGAAGAGTTGATGGCGGTGAACGTCACCCCACGCGACGAGGACGACACGCGTCAGCACGGGCAGACGGGGAGAGGGAGGTTGGTCGCTTTTAACGAACCAACACCATCTGCCATCGCCACGAAAATATCCCCTCCACCACACCGTTAAATGGACTGTGGCTACCTCTCATGCAGATGGATAAGAGCGACAGCATGACTCCGTTTCAAGTACAGCATGAGGTGGGTGTGTTTCCACATGAGAAAAGAAACCAACCATCGGTAGGAGATAACTCCCCTTGTTCGTACCTATAGCGCAGCAGTTGATGAGCGAAGGGAACTTTCTCAGCCGATCTCGGAAGGCTTGGCCGATGGGCGAGAAGGCGAGCACAATGTGGAGATTGGCCCTAACGCGGGTCAGGAAGTAGGCGTACAGCTGGGGCTGAGACATCTCCATCGCCGCTTTCCCATAAATTTTCTTCGCGAAAGGTCTTACCGCCTATTGAAATGTGACGGGTCGGTGGGAGTTAGTTCGCGTCGTTCTGGCTTGAGGGATTGAGACTTTTTCGATCGAACACCATTGATTCGGGGGTCCGACCTCTACGTTGGATGAGGATTATTCGGCGACTATCATTTCGGAGGCTTCACAGCCAAAGGAAAACACATTGCGCGATACACGTCAGTTAGACAGCACGATGTCTCGCCTCGCAGATGGCCACCCTCTCGTCGTTGGGGAAGATGTTTGGCACCTCCCCCGAGTTGAGCATGTTGTTGATGTCTTCCACGAACGACTCGTTGATAATCTGAGTGTCAGAAAACAAGAAGGCCATCGGGGTGTTTCCGGTCCCAGCCCCCTTGAGGACCGTCTTCAAGTCTTCCCTCCACTCCGTGTGGCCGTAGTTCTTGCTAATCTCGATCTGAGTATTCGTTTGATATCAAAATATGGCACGCGAACGAGTGGCAACGTCAACCGATGCCCTAGCGGTGTTGAGTCAACATCCGTAAAGCTGTTGACAGGTAGGTTGTTGCGGTCGCGAACGTCTTTGAAAAAAAAAATGTGAGGGGCTCTCGGGCGCATGTGTACCTACCCTGATCTCTCGCATGGATTCGTTTTGTAAGATCTCCTTCAAAACCCTACAACCATTTATTAACCAGACCAATTCGTTGAGCCATCAACACCAGGAAACAATATAGGGCAACAACAGTGCGAAATTCACTTCATGAAAGGGTCATTGAACAACGAATCTCACTGGTGTACGTTCCCCACATACCTGAAACAGCGTGTAGTCTGCCATGTGGACGGCCAGCCTTGTACAGCTCTGCCTTCCAGACCCACCAACGCCGACGAGCAGACCGTTGCCTCCAGGCATCTTTAACAACCTGTGGATTAGTTCGGCGTCTTTCGGTCACCCAAGGCAGCGTTCTACCTCCGACGAAAGATACCGGGTATTGTACCAACTCGGTGCCACGTTGGCTCGTTTGTCGGGTGCGCTTGTACTGTGAACACGAAATATCGTTCGGATCAAAAGAAGCAATGTTTACGAGAGTTCTCTGCGTTACTCGCTCGGACCCTCGGTATTTGGGTCTGTGCTAGGAGCAGTCTACCCCCGCCCTAGCGGGGCGTCGGCCGTGATGAAGAGGTTCGGGGAGATAAAAAAGTGTTCCGGGAACCTGCCATCCACCGGGGTAAGTAAGCCTCGTTTCCAATCACCTCACCGAGCGAGACGGCTGACGTGTTCCACCGCAAACATAAACATCACGAGGTCCATCGGCTTCCGCGAGCGCGCGTTGTAGTCGCTGAGGGACTGCACCATCCTCTCCTGCAGCTGATCCAAGTCCGACACCTCGTCGTACGGCTAAAACAACAAGTTCAAAGGAAATGGAGTTTCCAGAAAACAAGTTGGGGTTAGATTGGACGTACGTTGGAAACGGCGACCAGTACCACCGTGGTACAGGCCTACTACGCGGCTCAAAAGTATATGGTGGACGGAGATGGAACGCTATATTGGCGAACGAGAGGTGTATAGGACGTTTGGTGCGACCATTCCTGTACGCCACTTTCTGATAGATAGACGTTGCAGCAGTTCTGCTGTCTGGTGGGGGAGGTTTTTTTCTGTCGGGGTTTTCGTTTCGCGTTGTGGCTCGGGTAACTGCCGTGTGCCAAATAGACCAACTAGGCATCGTCGTGTATTTTGTGATAGTTAAAAAAAGCGGGGGTCTCGCCTTAGGGTCTGCTCCCTCTGGTGCGGTGTAGTCACCGAAAAAAAGCTTGCGAAGCTGCCCCGTTGTGATGGACCCCTCTCCCTCGATGTCCAGGTGCTTGCAGGCTTCGTACAGCTTCGTCCCAAAATGGGTAGAGATCTGTGCATATACGTACGGTGCGTGGCACGTTCAAATATTCATGAATTATCAACAGCGCGGTTGTGGCTACCGCCAGAGACACCACTCCGCATTTTTTTTAGTGCTCCCCCTTGCCGCATGTAAGGCTTCATTGTTCCCTCCGTATCGGTGCCAGGTACACTGGAATCTCGCGAGGGCGGCTCGAAAGCAACCCACCCGCCGCCTAGAATAGACGCATCGTATTTCACCGACATACAACCACGGCGCGCGAGTGTGCGCTCGTGCCACCTCGTCCAAGTGCCGGAAGAATCATTCTCAACACACATCGCCAGCCAGGCGTCCACCGACCGTTTGTTTTGAGCTGCGTGTGTAACTACCGAACTCGGTCGACGTCAGCGGGGGTGGAAGCAAGTGGAAGGGATTGTAGTCTAGTTTCAGAGTGGAGAAGGAACTGAGGATCTGCACCCCCTGTCACCTCGGCGACTGGCTGGCGCGCTATCTCGCGGCCGTGGAAGGTTGAGCTAGGGTCTATGGTCGTAAGGCTTCGGCCTCGAGTGGCTTCAGAGCACCTTCCATTCTGAAATTCGTAGGGCACATGCACTCATCACGCGGTTGCTCACCATGCCGTTCAAGTGCTGGAGGAACCACTCCCGATCCGGGTCATCCACCAATCGGTCCCCGAAAACACGGAGCGACTCGTGCACCCAAAGCCGCACCATGTTTGCTTTGCCGAACCCGTCTTTCGGTTTCACCATCAGGACGCCCTTTACGTTGTTGAGGTCCCGAATACGGAGCCAGACGGTGTTGTTCGTGTGTTCAGAGAAAGTGGACGCGCGAAAACGTGCTTCGGTTAGCCTCTGGAAAAAATTGTTGATTGTTATGTCCGAGAAACAAGATTCGCTTGCCGACAGCCTCCAGGTTGAAAAGGCTCAAGGTGTCCAGACGCGTCACCCATCATGCAGAATCTACGTTGTTTCAAAGCGGATTAGCTCCAAGACTCTGTCTGCTCGAGCTTCGACAAGCATCGTTTGTTTCCTTTACTCGCGGGGCTTATTGGTTGGAGGTCGTAATCTATTCCCACTCAATGTACTCGGTATGGATCTTTCGACCACGCATGAATATCGGTTCGCCTTGTCAAAGTGGAAGAAAACATGGCCGCACGTGAGCACGTTTATTGCCGAAACTAAACCATTCGACAAAATAGTCAACGCTGGCTAGCCGTAGACTTCCATCAGTGTGCGTTTGACTGCCTCCCTGAAGCAAATGAAATATCATTGCCCACCACCTATCACGATCAAAACCACGTAATACATTAGACCCACCAGAACTTCGATCACCGAATACAGAGACCCCGTAGTCCAAGAATTGGAAATACCATGACCCAATCTATGCGTGTTACTCAAAGTCGAACACGTTGCACACCTGAATCACCCTACTGAAGTCACGGAGGTTGAAGGTGTAGTGGCTCTTGGTAGGAGTAGGTAGAAGGTTCTTCGTCGCGGAGCGGAAAGTGTCCAGGGTGGCTCCAACAATAGCCCCGGTGGTCGCCTTGATGTCAGCCGAACACTGCGCAAAGGAAAACATGCGCTTGAAGCTTGGACGAACTCTTGTTACTGTGTGGTCGGTGTTTCCAATTCCTGGATTACGCGGGTATCTTCATTACACCAAGAGCTCGTTTCGCATCAAACATTCGCTAACGACTGGCACCTTTGTTTTGAAACTTGTGGTATCCGCCTGAGAGTACCATATTCTTGTCGAGACCGGTAGGATTCTAGATCAAATACGTGAGTACCGTAGATGGCCTGCGAACTGGCATGTTTTTCTCAAAGGAGACAACACCAGCAAGATGTAAAACCGAGAGCAGCAAGGATATCATGGTGTGTGGTCCAAAAGGCCGCAGCATAGACTAGACGTGAATGCGAGGGTGAACCCGTCATACAATACCGCGCGCAACATGAACTTCTGACCTTGTTGAGATTGAAGTGCCAATCCACGATGGTCTTGAAGATTCTCGTGAGAGTGCTGTCGTCGAACTCAAGGAAGCAGAGAATGTTGAAGTGCCGAAGGAGCCGCGGGGTGATGTGGTTCCTACCCCCGCCAGGAGGTCCCATCGCGCCGACAACAACGGTGTCCACAATTGTCTGCCACGTCATGTCCTTAAGGTTGTACCTGTTCAGTTCGTACCAAATCATCGGTTGAATGCGATACCCCGATTTTCGGCAACGCCCGTTAGGACAGACTTTCACCCAAGTTGAATTTGACCGAAAACCTCACTCGATATTGTTCCAGATGCTCATGGGGCTGGCGGTAGGGAGGTATTTGGACCCAGCACATAAGTTCAACCTTAACATTGTACGGATGTCGGATGTAGGTCGAAAACGACGCCGTCGCGTCGTGGGAAAAATTGACCGCGACTCGGCGCCCAGATCAGCAGACCCGAGTAGAACACGTTCATGGAAAAAAACGACATTTTCCACCCGAACATCCGGAAATTTTAAACCACGTGCTGTTCAGCCCTCAATATCATGAGGGCACCTCATCGCATCATCGATTGTTCGCGAAAATGTGTGTAGCACATTGAAACTTCCTCTCAGTCAAGCTCGAGAGAAAACTCAGCTTACATCGTTTCTACACGGAGATAGTGTACGTTACGTACTGAAACTTTTAAACCAAGTTCCCTGTTGCTCGCGTTTCGCTGTTCTTAGACCCCCTACCCACACGACAGCTTGGATAAAAAGGCCATCGTCTCACCAGCCGCCGTTGTCAATCATCTGCCGGAGGAGTTCGAGCGGGGGCTGAGCCCCGTAGGTCTCCACCTCAGGCATGTTGAGATCGTCCACGAATATGATGGCGGTCTGCCCCATGGGCGGACCGTACACACCTGGGTCGGGTTGGCCGCAGCACACGACGAGAGGGGAAGCAAGGAAATCAGGGCGCGTGAATCATCTCATGTTTGGGGTAAACCCTTTAGCGGCATCAACCCACCGGCGTGTCAAAGTTCTCATACTTAGGCTCGGAACTACACAAAGATTACTATCGGTTTGCGCCTACCCCTCAACACACTGGTAGAGTTGAGCATGGGAACACGCCAGGGCACCTCCAGTATATTATCATTCGCTACCATGCACAATCGGTTGCTTAACACTTAACACTGTACTACATCTCAAACCCCGAGGTGTTTCGTCTCTTGCCGCGTAGACTGCAACACTACCAGCACCGAGAAACTTCTCTGGAGTTTCTTCAACCCCCCCCTTTTCACCTTTGCGCCTTTTGTCGAGCTTTCCGTCAATGATATCTTGCGTCATGTTTGCGCTTGTCTTGGCGCTGAACCCCAGAGTCAGAGGCTTGAACTTGTCCTGGGGCAGTGCCTGTGCAAGGACCGGGTACACGGTTCTGTTAATCACCCGCTCCTAAACGCCGCGAAAAAGAAAAGCCATCGGCCGCCACGGGTACCGCTCTCTTCGCGCGAAACGTTCGGCGCGGGTGTATTGCACACTAGGCTCAAGTCCTGAAGAAATCCGGCGCATCCCTTCCTAAGCCGCGCTCGTCGCCGCGGTAATCTGTCAAAGAGCGGAAGATACCAGTTTCGGGTGGTCCGTCTCCATGTTGTATTTCTCACCTGAGTGATGGTCTTGAAAACATATGTCGACTTGCCGGTACCCGTCGGCCCGCACACAATCGTCTGCGCAACAACAACGGCAGCAGCATCCCGGGCGTTTCGTTCATTATACTAACACCACGTTCATCGTGCTCGGCGAGTGCTCGGACAATTGGAAGTAAGAACTCCAGAGAAACAATAATTAGGATGCTGCGCTTGGAGTCCGGAGCGAAGTATTTCACTCCAGTCAGCAAGAGGGGAGGATCAGGTCGCGGAATGGTACGGGGAGTCCGCTCGATGATATCTGAAAGATGGAGAAGGGTGAATCGAGTCAACACAACAAGGGTGAGAAAACCTTCGCACCATCAACATTCACTCGCAGGAACTCGATGTGCGTTCCACGATGATTCACCTTCTTGTCGCGGTTCAACAGAAGGGTCAAAAGGGAGTTGTACTGGGCCGTGTAGGCGTTCGGCACGACGATGTCTCCCATCGTGGCCGCGTCGGGGATCTGAAGCTCCGGCAGCATGTTCACCCACTGGACCCACTCCCCCCGCGATGGGTTGTAGAAGTGCGCTCGAGGACCGCCGTCCCGTACCGGGCACGGATTGGAGAGCTTTCCGGAGAACGCTCTTCCCTTCTCGGCGAAGTTCGGTGGGCTCCATTTTCGGACCTGAAATTCCCAGAGAGGAAAATGGAACATGAAACCACGACGAAAAGAGATGCAAATCCAAACTCCAATCATCAAGTGGTTCCTTTATTTCCTGCTTCAAACGCGTGAATAAAGAAGTGAACCGTAGGAACAAAGATGTCGGTATTTGCATACCAGATGCATTGAGGTGCGACGTACGGGAGACAGTGCGAGTATCACCCACGACGTGCAACGTATTGTTCGACTCGCGTTCGAGGGCAACTCGATGTTGGCATCTCAAACAAAACGAGAGAGCACCGGTGTCGAGGTGAGAGCCCAACATTAACTCAACAAGAAGCCTTCGTTCACTCTTGCCCGCCTATTCTCGCCTCCCCTCGTGAACTCGGCGACGCAACCGTTAGAGTGCGGTGTTGCGTACCAACACCACGTTAGGATCGCATAGGTCACTAACCTAAACATGGGGCTACGTCAATCAACAAGCAGCGTGCGTAATAACGTATGTGAGCCTTTTCGCGACTCCCGCGCTGTCTGCACTAAATACTTTCAACAACCTTGGAAGAACGGTTTGTCTCTCCGAACAACCACCCACGATTGCTCTTCAAGCATCCACCATTGAGATTGCAAACTAGCCCATGGACGCAACCCTCCAGCGCGTCGCCTGCCTGCTACTCACAGAATCCTCGACCATCCCCGCACCTGAAGCGCGTTGTTAACCCCTTCCCACTCGTTTTCGATCACTCCCAGATCGGCGACGATGTTGTCCAGGAACTCCAAGAACGCCTTCTGACCGGCCTCGACCCCGGTGCTGCCTAGCGACCACACCAGGCCGAACATAAAGCAGCACTCTACGTGCTTCGCGCGCATGGCAAGCGTCTTTTTGGTCGCGAGCAACGGGACAGGCGCGGCAGAAGGAGCGGGAAGTAAGGGGATTCCTTAAGTCTGCTTTGAAGGTATATCATGAGTAGGATAGGTTGCTTCCCCTTCGACGGGGAGAATTTCGACCGTCGCCCGTTATCGGCACGGGGGGCGACGGTGCTTTCCTTTCGCAGTGCTCCTTGTGCGAGCGAAACGACGCAGGATGTGCAGCAGCAGGTGACACGGGTTCGCTGAACTAATGCCGTCCATCAAATCACATTGCCGCCTCCATTCGGTTCCTCAACAAACCAAGTCTTGCTTCACGTTCGGTGGGCGCTCTGTCGTTATCGTCAACGATTCGTGCGTGTTTCCCTGTTTCTCACGAGTTCACGCGCGCAGCACGACAGGATGTTGTAACGCACAGGAACACCGAAATTTGTTTTCAACGTCACCTACCAAATATAGGAGTATGCCATATTCGCAACTGCGCAGACAGCAATCCAACGCGTTTGGCTACAAATAAGTTGCCTGAAACCCAGCAACTGGGAAGGTGAGTAGCTTGTCGACCGTGGGGGGGTATGGTAGGCTGGGAAAATCCTACAACTCAAGGCGTCGATCGAAAGCCACACCTTTGGGTCCATGGCCTCTGCTTCCTCGGCACCCGCGGAGGCCTTCGACTTCGATAAAGACTGCTTGCGGCCCCCTGCCCCTCCCCCCCGGGTCGCCTCGAATGCCTCTTCTAGCTGGCACTCCATGATGTTTATGAGGGACTGCACCAGGTTTGTGTCTACGGTTGGCACCTTAAAAGGATAGAGAGGGACGATGTGGATGCTGCGGATTCAACATGTTTGAAAAACCTCAGAGAGAGGGTGTTTTTTCTTGAACGAGGGCTAATTGGTGTCTTCAGTAATTTCAACCAAGGTCCCTCATGGTAGTATCCCTGTGCCACTCGAGCTGTCCCAGGCGCCACGGTTGTTCACGAGAATCGCCGGAAAGGCTATACTAGAACAGAAACACCTTCCGAGCAAACAGGACAGCACCAGCGCCGACAACAACGGCAATGCCTCACCATCTCAGACACCTCCCTCCGCAAGAACGCCAGGCATGGCTCCACCAGCCAGGCGAACAGCTCGCGCACCAGAAGGCACTCGTTCGCTGTCAGGGTGAACTTCGTCGGCCCGTTGGCGGCGGATGGCTCGGCGGTGGCGGCAGCGTCGTCCCCTGCTCCACCCGGTGCCCCATTCTCCAAAGCGGAGATATCCTTCACTTGGTGACTGGGATTTATATTTGCGAACAACGCAAGACGCAATGGGCGAGGGAGCGGCAACTGTAGGGCTTATAAGGTCAAGAAACAAATTCTTCGTGCGAAATTTATGTAGCATCCATCACTGGCACGTAGCGTTCCTCGTGCAGGCTGCCGCCCCACTGTCTCCAACATTTTGTAAAACCCGGTGGCAGTCTTGAAGGGTTGCAAGCAGTGAGACACGTCCGACACGGCTCTCACCGTCTGATCCAGGAGTCCAGGATAGGTTGCCACCCCAACTTTTCTGGCTCCATGTAGATCATCCCGCAACGGCTGACGGTGGCTGGGGAAGCTACAAGAAGGTCCATGGGCTCGAACATCATGGACATCACGCCAGACATGGCGATGATCTCTCCGCTCATGAGGCACAGCTGGTGTGTTGAGGGGTGGAGGGGCGAAGAGATTTCTTGGGGATAGTCTGCGAGGAACAGTTGTGCCGGAACGCTGTATCGCAATTCTCCTTCCGCTAATGAGGAACGGACTTGGTTGTCGGCGTCACGGTTCGGGAACATGGGTACCGGGAACGAAGTCGGCGATGGACTACGTATTGAGCTAGAGATACAATGAAGGATGGTGACTCTAGCTTTGTTTTAGCACTATGCACGCGCCGCAATGTATTACCCTCTTATACTTTCGTGGTATTTGTTGTTCAGCAATCTCACGAATGCCTCTTCGACGGTGGAATTTTCTTGAGTTTACTGGTGGTGTTCTTGTGCTTGCCCTAATTTCGTGGACCGGATCACTATCATTGTCACCGGGTTTCCTACGTCGTCTACGGAAGACAAAAATAGCTCCGTGAGTAAAGTATTTTCTTCCAGCGCAAAAAAAGTCATCGCACGTTGGAGCATCATGTGTTCCCGATGAGTAGTTGCATAGTGTTGTCAAGCAAGTCTATGTGCTCAACGAACTTCCGTCTATTCCGTGCAACTCTGTGTGGAGAAGGAAACACGGACAGAACATTATTTGCACAAATAGAGTACATTACAGTACCTTTTTGTTGTCGTCGAGAACGGTGTTCATGTTTTCGATCCAAATGGCATCCACAGGGCCGTCGAACAGGATCCACTTGCGGTCTCCCGGTTCGCCCACCTGTCACAAAGAACGCTTCATCTTCGTTTCACTGGCGATGCAATGGTCCAACCATGCATAGCACCATAAAAAATACATTTTTCCGCAGTACCTGTCCGGTATCGTCGAAGGACCTCAAGGGGATGTTGCCATGCATGAGGCCGTGATGCATGACTGCGAACGCCTGTGTTATCGTTGCAACATTATTAAAGGACGTCGTCAACAAAATATCAACAACAACTACTACTGCTGAAAACAACAACGTTGAATGGTTGGAGGAAACCTTCGAACACGCTCCGTCGTCACACCTTATTCGAGGCGGCGTTCCGGTACTGAATGGCGAGGACTCCGTCCGTCCACTCGTGCGAAGTGGGATCGAACTGGCCGTACAGCTGCCCCATCGCAATGGACTTGGGGTTCATCAGGAACGGTATCACCTTAGACCAGCGGACATCCTCGGGGTATCTACCAAAATTCGTTTAGTGTACATGTTGCAGGTGAGAAAGCAGAACTGGGCCAGTCAAAGACGGGAGGTGCTCGTTGAGTATTGCGTTTGAGTTTTAGCCCCTACAGATGATGTGAAAGAATAGTGGTTGCATGCAATAATATGACGCGAAATCAACTCGTGGGGGAAGCGTTGGTACTGTATGGGGCAAACTCAAGAGGAGAGCGCCTGTTGCTTAGAGATATGCCGATTCGGACCAGTTGGACGTCTACCGTCCGATGGTCCATGTGGCGGTAGAGTGAGTACAAGCAGCGCAAAAACAAAGGCAATCCAGCATAATTGCGACACCCGCACACATGACAATGCGAGGGTGGAGACGAAAACCTGCCCTGGCATCGGTTGGCCACCTACCTTTTCGCTCTTCAAGAACGCTTCTGTTGAGCGAATCTCCGGCGATAATTCTTGTGTCCAACGGATCGAACGTACGTGTAAATCGGCGTGGATCTCGTCTATCGCACCTCGTGTGGAGGAGACCGAGGGCGAACGCCAGCACCTTCCACGCCATGGTCTTGCCCGAGAACGGCAGCCCGACGATCATGAAGCCGTGGCGGACCACCATCATGTCGTAGATCTGCACGACCTTCTCCCAAAAGTACGCCGTCGGCTGGAGGTTGTAGTGGTCGCACCCGTCGTTGAACGCCTGGGATGATGACGTGCGGCGATCGTGCGCAACTTTAGGCATAGTTTATCCTCAATTAAGAACACAATGTTCCAGTTGCCAGGTCAGGTGCATAGGGTGGAGCTTTGTACGCCCCCTGGAACCACCAAGAGTGTGGTGTACCGGTCGACATGAAGCGATACCCTAACCCGTTACGAGGGATTCGACCGACTGGTATGCTCATACCCCCCGAGCCAAAGGCATTCGGCTCGTTGCCGGACCGTTTGGCGCTTGTAGTACCGGCGGAAATGAGCCTGTTTGCTATTGCTTTGATTGACAATGCATCACCCTACGCTCGATGAGGTGACCTCTCACATGAACGTGTTCAGAGACGTGCCCCGCTCTCAAATAAGGCGGGCAGAGGTTCTGCTGAACCATGCTTCCAAACAATACTTGGCGTTGCACAAGATTCCCTGGTAGAATATACGTATTTCGTAGCTTTCTGTTGTTGTACTCACTTTTCGCATGGCGTCCCTGTCCGGGTCGGGCACCTTCACGCCGGGGAAGAGGTCTGATACGATGCCGTTGAACAGAGGGACGTCGAACCACAGAAACTTGGGCAAGTTCACGTCTATGATCGACCTGACAAGGGGGGTTCGGTGAAGATACGCCCGCCCGACACAAGCGAACGGAGGAAAGGGAGATGGTCTCGCGTCACGGTATGAACCTGTTCGCTTGCAATGTCGGACTCCGTCAAAATTCGAGATCGTATTAGGAGCCCTCCCTCACCGACACCAAGAGAGCCACGCCACCCGTCTCACCAACACAATTTAGAGTTGTTGTTGTTTGTGGTCTTCGCATTAAAAACCGTTTCGATCTCTTTACCCAGCACCTTCATCTATCCGTACTGATTGACCGTAGTCACAAATTTTAAAGCCCAAAACAATATTTGTGGTCCTCGCGGGAAACAATAAACCTTCCCTCTTTTGCACTAAGAACCGATGCTCGCCCCATGAACGACAAAGCACAGCAGTCTACACCACATAATTGACTGTCCTCTCGTTTATACCTCAGGACCAAGATGTCCTCCGGGAGGTGGGCGTCGGAGCGCTTCAGGTTCCCCGCGGCGCGCAGCACGGCCACCACCGCGCGCATGCCGTAGTCGTAGTGCGACTGCGAGGAGAGCTGCTCGGAGCAGAGCTTGTACGTGGTGACGATCTTGACCGACATTTTCTTCGCGTCCGTGTACCCGAACGAGTACAGGATAATCTCGCTGATCATGCCGTAGTCGGGCACCATCATCGCCACCGTCCGAAACAGCACCTAATCCGTGACAATCATCGGGTTGGACGAAAAGCAACACATTGACTGATATGGCACGGTGGGAAAATATTTTTTTCTACATATGGGATGATGGCGCGAGGTGTGATACGTAGGTGTTAGACGCAGTACATCACGGGACCGCTCCGTGCGGTATGAATCTCGGTGCGTTGGTCGGCTTTTAACTATGAGCCAGGGAGGTCGATTGACTGACTTTTGGGCGGTGCACGTCGGGAGAGCGCCCCGAACTTGTCGATAATCATCGAGAATATTCTGAGCAACTTACTCTCGTCTAACCCCATGAGATATTGACTGCACTATACCGTTTGGAAGTACGTGGGAAAGTCTTTGGTTGGAGGATACCCAAGCCACGGGAACAGCAAAATCAAAGTTCTGGATAGAGATTGGTGATCTCCTCATGCGTCGAGCTCTGAGAAATGCATGGCTTCTCCATGCTGTACAACAACCAAGGCGTCGCATGCGAAACGATTGGACAGTGGGATCCAGCCCAGAGCGAAAGGGCACCTTCAAGTTGTCGGGGAGCTCGGCCCGGCCGGCGTACCCCGGGTTCATGGTGATGAACGGGCAGCACGTGTGCACGAGGTTAAGCTCCGTGCCTTCGAAGACGAAGCGTTTGAGGCCTCTCGCCTTGGCCTGCTGAATACACAGCACCTGGCCGAGAATGCAACCCAGGGCAACAACACGTCGTGTGCAGAGAGCGGTCAACGTCCTGCTGATATGCTGGTTAAGTCCCGGTGGATATGTTGGCACGACCTCGCCACGTTCTGGACGGGTGAGTTCGTTCGAACGTCGGTGAAGTCACACGAACTGGTCTAACCCTCACGTCTTTCCAACAAACAACTACACTTAACGTGAGCACACAAAATCGACTTCCGGTCGACGATGAAAAGGAACGGGTGTATCCTTCTGGCGAAAAAAGGAAAGTGGGGCATGGACCTCTGAACAAAGTTGGAGAACAACAAAAAAATCTTCGTGCCCTTCCTTCTATATGACCCAGTCTGGTGCGTCCGGGAACATTCGGAAAGGCGCGAGAACCGGTGTCCAGACCAAGGAGGAGGGGTGAGAACCTATTCGAAGCTCTTCTCAGCATCCCCTACCAACGGCAAACAGGGACTTGGAGCATCAAGGAAAAGCGCCCTGTACCTGTTGCGCCACCACCGAGAGCACCTCGAGCTGGATGCGGTTGAATTCGTCGAAGCAGGCCCACGCGCCGGAGGACGCAAGGCCTATTCGGAGCAAATGGCGTCAGGATGGCAACGACCAGGGTAAGTCGTGCGAAGCTATGACCCGAACCTGGTCGCCTACACGAGGTGTAGCTATGTCGTGCCGTGCACTCCCACGGAAGCATTGGGTACGGAGTGTCAGGATCGCAGCTGGAAGCGGACGGATATACCGGAGTCCAGAGGAATACGTTTCAAGTAGCCAATACTACGTTGCTCTATTTATGTATTATATAGAGTACGTCTAAATTTGGCTATAGAATACGTAGAAAAAAATTGAAAATAGAATACGTAGAAAAATTGAGCCTACGTTTCAAAACAACGGGTACCTTTGAAGAACTTCCCCATGGCCAAGTAGTCCAGGCCATCGGAACAGTTGGTGACCACGCACTGGATGGCGATGGCCTTGCCCAAATCCTTCGTCGTCTCTGTCTTGCCGGTACCCGCGGGACCCTCGGGGGCTCCGCCGAGGTTAAGGTGGATCGCTCCCATGAGTGTGCGGTAACACCTTTCCGTGATGAGGGGACGCGATTCGCCGGGACAACAATTACCCAACAGACAAGTAAATAGTTGTTTCTTTGCTTTATTTGTCGTGGCACCGCCAGTTCGGCTTGTGGCCCGGGCCAAGGACTTCAAAATGAGGGTTTGCGGCAGGAGGGGGCGTGCCTCAATATCGTCAAAGTTGCTCATAACTCCCGCTGAACGCACCACACTCGAGCGGTTGTGTCTCTCTGTTGCATGTACGCAATGATGACGTTAATCTTCGAACAAGTGGCATGTTTCCGTTTTTCCTCACCTGTCCGTGAGGGGCGTGATGACCAACCGGCCGTTGTTTCCAAGGTATTCATACCCGTACAGCTGGATTGCGTTGATCATCTTGCACGTGATCGAGCCCGGTTCTCCGGAAAAGGCAGACTGGCCCCCCTCCTCCCAGTAGTACCTGTTTTCGAGGCATTCGAATCGCATTAACGTCCAAGCACACTCCACCCGCTTGTCGGCTAGCCATGACAAAGTGGTGCGCTGTGCCCTAGATTTGCAATGGGGTACCAAGCCGCCAAACGCCGCAATCCCGCGGATCCCCTTCACGTACTGCTCCGGAGTGGCACGCAGCAGCACCCCTGTGAGCGGGCAGAACGATGTCATATTTCGCCCCTCGGAAGCCAGACGAACACAAACATTATGTTCGCGTTGGAGATTTTGCCAGGTGTTCGGCACCAGGGAGGATTCCCTCCTCCCAAGAAAAAACACACCACACACGACCGTACACTCCATGTTATCGCGTAAACGCCGAACTGCACCGCACACGGCACGGCATACCGGAGCTGCGCCAGCCAGTCGAACTCTCCGATGTCGGAGATCTTGAGTGAGGCGAGCTCCTCGGTGGTGTCTCGGTTGTGCACGTCCATCACGACCATGGCCCCGAGGGACGTCCGCAGGTTCTTGTTGATGTCCGTCCGAACGAGCTCCACGGTGCGGAGCAGCTCCTCGCAGGAGAACTCCCAGTGCTTCTTCAAGGCTTCCGGATCCTCGGTCATGTGCGTGATGACGGTCTCGAGGGTATGCGTCCACGCTTGCTGGTTGACGACCAGCATCACCTGTTGTTGTTGTTGTTGTTGTTGTTGTTGTTGTTTGTTGTTGTTTCTCACATTTGCTCCATAGTCCACAAAAATGGGGAGCCCGTGGTCGCAAAAACCCGGCACATACGACGACGCCGCGGGGAAACAAAACAAAATGATAGAAAGAAAAGAACAGCTACCGCACCGACCGGTCGAGAAAAGAGCACTCGGAAACCGATCAAAATAAAACAAAACAAAACAAAGAAAAAAATAAAACCTGTGTGCGACGCGGAACCCGGAAGTAGCGTATGAACTGTATTTCAACATACACCCCAGCAGAGGGAGCGACGGAGTCGTTCGGAGCTTGGCCGCCGGCCACGGCGGAGTTTAATGAATGGTCCGAAGAAAACCCTCGGATCTGAGCACTACCGCTGAGATGTGGAGGTGTCGTAGTGTGGCGCTGCGAAAGGCTTGGCGACGGGGAGTAAGTCCCTCAGCGGAGACACGCCATGCCCGCGAAGGAGAACTTCCACTCCAGACCATCGTCCTTTCACCCTTGGCAGAAAACGTTCAGACCCCTCCTCCTGGTCTTTCGACCTTTCTCAACTTGTTTCAATAATTTTAACCGGGTATTCCTAGGCATAAGCCCCAAACACACCGCTACATAGTAGAACCGGAAGGAGTACCTGATTGTGGAACGCGATAGAATCTTGCGCGTATTAAACGCCTGCGTCCCGTCTACAACGGGCGGTGGTGCTTTGCCATTCCACACCGCTCGCCGAATGTATACCGCGACCTGTCATTGACAAAGGCTCACCTGTCCCGGCCATTTTTGGACCCAGTCCAACCTGTCGGAGGACGCGTGATCAACCATGGACGTGTCGATGGAGTAGGCTAGGCCCTTTTTCATCATGATCTCCACCTCCACGAGCCAGCGCTCCACGTTTCCGCCAGAGTTGTTCGGGTTCACCATCGCATGCTTCACCTACAGTTCAATAGTTTTCCGTGGGGTACAGCAAGTAGGTTTTCGCCGGGGAACGAGATGCAATGCACACCTTGTCAAGGGGAAAAACGCTTGCAACCGTTCTTGGTGACGTCAGGCTGGCATTCACATTGAAATTAATTGCAGGTGCGAACTCTACTCCCGACACGATCCGCAAACAACCGCCACGAAAAGCAGTCATGTTGTGCTCTACGAGATACCCCAAAGAATATCAGATACCGTTCGGCACGCCATCCTCAGTAGTATAACGCACGAACGATTCTCTCCTCCTGTCGTACGGAAAAACCATCGCAAAGAGCCCTAGCGACGACAAGGAACAACCCGCCGGTAACCTTTGAATAGGCGGGAGCGGGAATTGCAGAGTGAACTCGCTTCTGAGCAAGCCATCGGCCGACCCCTGATGCTAACACATACCCCTCGGGCAAACACACGCTTCCAACGAAGAGAGGCACACAGGGTTCATTGTGCACCAAACGTAAGGCAAAGCTAAGTCAGAACTTGCAGCGGCGGCAGAGGCAGCAGCAACTTCATAAAAACACACCACTCATATGCACTATCGCTTTGAAATTGACAACCTGCTCGTAGGGGAAGTTGATCCGTTCTTCCCCGGGGTCCAGGCAGGCGGTGATGTCCAGGTTGGGCTGGAACTCCAGCTGCGAGATCCCGTCGAAACACTTCTTGAGGTGCGGCTGGACCCTGAGCGGGTCTTTGGTCTCGGCGAGGATCTCCAGGAGCTCGTCGTTGGAGAGGAAGTAGAACCGCGGGAAGGCCAGGCGCTTGGTCTCGAGGTAGTCGTTGAGCCCCTTCTGGATGACGTCGAGCTTCGCGTTCGCGTCCTGCAGGGCCTGCAGGAAGCCCTGGCGCCTGGCCACGGAGAGGACGGCGGGGTCCTCGAAGGTCTTCTGCATGTGCTCGCGCCACGTCTGGTCCACCGACTGGAACAACCGTCCCTGCGGTGTATTGCCAAAGAAGCGTGTTCGAGGGCTTCAAAGAGAGACGGTGGTGTCGAACAGAGATAATCTCTATTGCAGTGCGGTTATCGAAACTCCGACGAGTCCCTCGTTCGTCTTTGCCCTTGCGCTCACAACGCATCTAGCTGGCCAATAGGGACGCAACGGCTCCTGCGGTGACGTTGTTGATGTGCCTCCCAGTTGGAAGCACGGATGATGTTGTCGTTCGGTGGGCTGACTGCCCTGCCAACCAGTGTACACCAATTCCTAACTCTAACGAAAACACTCAACAACAAACATTGAAGTCCTTGTTGTGACCCCGGGTGATTCACGGTGTCTTTTCCCCATATCCAACTTCATTGTTTTCCAGAACAGAGGTCTTTCAAGGTATACCCTTGTCAGATGAGAAGGGGAAGAAAAACATTGCAATTCACCCCGCACTTTTTGCGCACGCTAGCGCTCTCGCAGCTTCTTTCCTCTGTTGAACTTTCGAGCCGAGTTGAGGGGTCGTGGGGTAAGAAAAAGCGTCACGTATACGTGTCCAGATCAAAGCGATGGCCGCTCGTGTTGACGGCCGGGCAGCGGGGTACCGGCGAGTGGTCTCTGGGCGGCGACTATAAGCTGCAGCCTGAAACAGACCGCTGCAGTGGACCGTTATTCAGCAGATAAGTTAAGGTTACACAGGTACCGACCGAATGACGCTACAAGTAGAACACCCGAAGTAACGGGGGAGAACGCCACTTTCGGTCGTCCCCAAGGCACCCTTTCAACGAGGCTCCCGTTGACTGCCGGCGGAGCTGCATCTGCTACCGAAGTCGCCACCGACGCTGAAATAAAAAGGAGACTTGCATACCTCTACAGGCATCTGCCGCATGATGTCATCCGACGAAAAGATTGGCTCCAGGTACAACCACGTCGCCTGCATCTTAAGCCAGTTGTCCATGATGTCCTGTAGATCGTTGAGCGTCTTCTCCCAGTCCACGATTCTGTCCAAAAACGGCCCTATGTACCTACAGCAGTTGATCCCACCGCGGTCAAGGGACATTGTGCGCTTCGGTTATCAATACAAGCACGGCAACGTTTGTAACATACGACGTGAACTGGCCTGGAACGGGTAGGTTGGTGTCGTTCCTGCTGCGCGGCCCTCCTTATAACGCAGGGATTGTGGTTCGACACAAAGGGTCGAAGAAACTTTAGGATGAAACCTGTTTTGGAATGAGACATGTCCAAACTACTCACCTCCGAAAGTTGTGAGAGCTACACATGATTGTTCTAGAAGTTGATGGTGGTTGAACCCACGTGTGCGTACCAGTTTTAAAGTCAAAGCAATAGCTGGCAAGCGGACCGATCTCTTGTGGAGATACTTGTTGTCATTGCTGGAGCCGCCCTTGCAATGTCTGCACCTGCCCAAACTGGAATTCCTCCGTGGAACTCAAAACGAAGATATGGATTCTGCGAGAAACAACCTCTAGATGGTGGTGGCTCCCGCTCCTCGTATCACATGTTGGAAGGTTTTCTCCTGGAGACCCTATAGCAGGGGTTGAGCCCCCTCTTCCAGTGCTAAAAAGCGAGGTTGTTTTTTCGTGGTACCCGAGTGAGAACTTAAGCGTGATGCGTCGAGTATTGCGGCCGAACAGTTCAGAATAGGGCAGCATTGGAAAGGCGTTCTCAGGCCGCGGCATAGGCACGCACTACCCCAAAACCATCGCACCTAGATCCTCGCATGGCCTGCGTCTTGACGATGTGATCGTCCAGCAGCTGCTGCGTCTCATCCACGGACGCGAGAATCCTCGTGCCGGACGTGCGGTACTCCTTCGTTTCAAACACGAGGCCGCTCCACTCCTCCTCCATGATGTTCATGTTGTTCTCCAAGGAGTACTCCTTGGAAGCGGCCACGCAAGTCTGTGAAAAGAACGGTTAGGAAGAACATATCGAGGTTGCCGATGAGTTGGGTTCAAAACGATTTTGGAGGGAGGATCAAAGGCGAAGAGAGCGGCAGGGAATTGACGCGTAGTTGACTGATTGGGCGCAATTCGAAGCGTTGGGCATCGCCGGGGGTTGAAATTCATCGAAGGCACATGACCGATTGTTGCGAAGGAAGGTTTTCGAGTGCCGTTGGGGGAAACGCGTTTAAGGTTGAGAATGTTTTCAAGACCTGACACTCTGACAAAATGTTTCTCATAGCGCACGCGACAGGTACCTCCTCAATCTCGGCGCAGAAGTTCTGGAGCCCGGCGTCGAGGAGGTCCCTCAGCACAAAGTCCTGCTCATACGGCAACGAGATACCCGTGGTCTTGACGATCTGGTCCCAGTGGCGCTTCTTGATGCCGGGGGAGGACATGAGCATCATCAGGGGCGCCTCGTCCTCGATGAAGTCTTTTATCTCCTTGGACAGGGCCGTTGCCACTGAAGTCGGGATAGCTCGTTCTGTGCCGACCTGCAAGGGTTACAAGGCCGGGGTATGAGGGCGGGCGAGAAATCGAAAACCCGAATCTATCAGGACGTACTGCGCTCCACAATACGCCGGACTGTCCGAGACTTGCACCTGGCCAATTATCCGCGTTCTCCGCTTTGAGGACGAAAAAGGAATGCACAGAAAAGACAAACAGAATGTTTGTTGAACCTGCCCACGCCAGACGGAACCAACCTATGTCACCAGAACAAGGCTGAGGCCGCAACCCCAAGCAAAACTCACCTTCGCTAGCTCCTTCTCGGATCTCTGGGCCGTCCGCATTAGGTCATCCGCCTGCCGCTCCGCCGCTTCGGAATCAATGTTTCGGAGCGGAGACTCTAGCCACGTGTGGTGGCTGTCGAGGTAGTCCTTGGCCGTCGTCCACAGCCGCGCCATGGGGTCTAGCGAATCCCGGAGGTCTGACAGCGGGGTGAGGTTGTCGGTCAAGGGCATGCCGAGGAGCGTCTCCTGCTCGAGGATGCTGTCGGCCTCGGCCTCGGCCCTGTCGAGAGCCTCCTGCACGGCGACAATGCGCCGGACGCAGTTGTGCACGTCCCCCGGCACCAGGGACCCGGCCTCCGCTATCTTGTCGATCTTTTTGCCCAGGGCCGCGGTCTCCCGGAGGAGCTGCTCCTGCTGCCCCTCCACGACCATCTCGAGGTCCTGCTTGCGGCTGCGCTGGAGCTCGGCCGACCTCGCCAGGTACGTCTTGACGTTGTGCGGCCAGTTGTAGGTCGTGTGGAACAGCTGGAGGTCGTCCCGGGACACGCGGAACCCTTGGTCGAGGAGGAAGTTCGTCCGGGTGTAGACCTGGTTGGTATACTCGCCCAGCAGGCCTCCCAGCCTCTCTAGCGCCTTCCGAGTGTACTCCTGCAGGGACTTGAGCTCCGCCGAGTCCGACGGCTCGGTCACGAGCTGGTTCACCATCTCCTGGTACTCCTTGCCGATGGCGGCCATGTGCGTCCGGTTGTCCGAGGCCACCTCCTCCATGATGAGCGTGTGGAGGGCGTCCGCCTTCTTCGCCAGCGACTCGGTCGCCTCGAGGCACTTCACCGAGAACATGGGGTAGTTGTTTAGGTCCGGCACCGCCTCTCGGATTTCCAGGGCGAGGCGCTTGAGCCTCAGCGCCACCTCCTCGAGGGCGGTGATGCCCGCCTGGGTGGAGTCCATCTGCCCGCGCTCTTCGAGAACTTTCTGCACCTTGGCCTCCTCGCTGCCGTCCATGAGACCCACGAAGGGCTCGAACTCCTTGAGCAGCCTGAGGGGCGCCGCCATGTGGGTCGCGATCGCCGCCCGGACGCGCGACTTCGCGTCCACCACTATCTCGTCCGAGAGAACCATCGTGCACGGGCCCAGGGTCTTCGTGCTGCATTCCGGCGGCGGAGGGACGAGGCTCTGGTCCACTCGGGGAAACCTCTGGCTGGCGGAGACGACCTGGTCGATGCAGGCGCACGCGTGGCCCTGGAGCTCTTCGAGGGTCGGCTCAACCGTCATAACCGTCCTCCTGCTCGCAGCAGCAGCATTGCCGTCGCCGTCCTCGCAGGTGGCCTCCGTATCCGCTCCCTGTGATTTAAAGCAAACGTGTACACATTATCTCTCTGCAATGATACGTGTACTTTTTCTTGCGCCAATGACACAACAATATGAAGATGTTCTTCCGCCGACAGCCAAACCCTCTACACGTTACGACATAGAAGTACGTTTTCCTCTGCAATATCACATACTCCGGCATTCTCAAAGCGGCGGATGCAGTTCGCAAAAACACAAGCTTGTACGAAAATGTTTCTGGACATTTGACGCGCCTGAGATCGGCCTTCGATGTCGTCGAATGCGTCTTCGTTGACGTGCAGCATCAGCACGAACGTCGCGTCTCCGGAATGGTGAGGGTGGCTCACGCGCTCGAAGAGGTGGACAAACGTCCCCAGCGAGCGTTCCACGGTGCCCCTAAGGTGTCTAGACATCAGCATGGACACGGACTCGAGAATCCCCGTCAATCTGGCGAAAGGGTCGGGGGCTCGCCCGGTTCGCCCCCCGGGCCGATGACGGCTTCCCGCCCCGCCGCCGCCGCCGCCACGTAGACCAACACTTCCCCCACCCGCGCCTCTTCCCGCGTCTCCGCTGCCGGCAAGCCCCGCTTCCAACTCCATCCTCCTCTCCATCAATATCTGGGCCTCTTCCTTGTCGTCCCCGCTGCAGCCGCGCTCGGACGCGGCGCTGTGCCCTCTCGTGCGCCGTTCACCGGGGCCCCCTTCTCCCGACGGGGCGGCGGGACTTTGCTCGAACCACTGGTCGAACTCCTCGTCCGCGTCTATGTCATCGACGCCACCCAACCCGTCCCCTCCCTGGGTGTCACCGCCTGCTTCTTCCCGGAAACCCGGTCGAAGCTGCACTGCGGCGCCGTCAAGGTGCCGCCCAGCATCGTCCCACCCTCCTGCTCCTCTTGTCCCCCCCATCCCGCCCCCGTTTCCCTTCATCGCCTGGATGGCTTGAATCAGGGGACCCACATATTGCCCCACGAGACCCGCGGCGTCGGAGAGCCAGAACTCCTGCATGGCCTCCCTGCATTCGTTAGCGCGCCTCTCCATGTGCGAGCAGAACGAGTCTAGGCTCATTGGCAGCGTGGACCAGAAGGTGGCGGTCGTGACATCGGTGAAAAGGACGTCCGCGTACACCTGTGGCAGCGGTCGGAGAGAACGCAACACAGAAGCATGATACAAGTTCATCACCACACATCAACTTAAATCATACGCCACCGCATTATCTACAGTCATGAAATGAGGCGACTGTTTTTCCTGTTGATGCTTTTTTTTCTGAAGTTAAAGGTCTTGAAGTGCACACGCAGGATCTCCGCCTGAACTGCGAACGCAGTCGACGCGACGCAAGGGTGGGAAGGCATGTATTTCAAACGGCACGCTTCCCACAAACGTAACATCTGATGCACCATCTAGGAGATGTGCCGGAGCTGGGTAAACATCTGTGCACACCGCCTTCGCCATCTCCATGCCCTTCAAAGGAGCATGTTCCGCGGGTCACACATGGCGCTCTGCCTCACAATAGAAAAAGAAAGCTTCAACAACCTCACCACATCGCTGGAACCCCCGAAAGCGGCCGTGTCCCAGTCGCCCGGAACCACCCCGGAGTGCCACAGCTTTTCCAGCCCTACCATGACCGTCTCCACCGAGCAGAGCTTACGCTTCAGGAGCAGGGCGGACCGGCGCACGCGAGCCCGGGAAACTCCGGTCTGCCGCAGCACTCTCCACTCCGGGATGAGGTACTCCTGGCACTGGTACCACCTGGGGCCGGCCGTGAGATGCCCGCGCTCTATACCCAGCGCCTTCCGCCGTTCGGGGTCTTTCAGCTCGTAGTCCACGACGGCCCTCGCCACCGAGACGGAGTGCCCGACCTGTACGTCCTCCAGCATGCTGTTGACGGCGGCCTCTGCGTAGGCCTGGTAGGCGCCCAGCTCGATCCCGGGGATGAATCGAAGCTCGAAGGCTAGCCGCGAGGTTATTCCGTCGACCCGTTCCGGGGGAAGCTCGAGAAGGGGGGACTTGGCCCCGGCGCCGAGTGCGTTCGGCGAGCCGTTCAGCATCCTGTCCTCCACGTTCACCCAGTAGCGATCCATTGACTCCTTTTGCCTCTCCGCTTCGTCCGCCACGACACCCTTTCCTCCTTCGTTTCCACTACCTGCAGCTCCTTTGTCACCTGGGGTCTCGTCGTGGCCACCACTGTGGCCGACTTCGTCCAGCACGGCCGGGTTCCACGACCGGAAGTCGTTCACCGCGTACCCCCCTCCCCCCTTCGAAGGGGTGCTCACCTGTGCTCTGGACGGCGTCACGCCGCTGCTGGACGGATCAACTTCGAGGAGCCGTCTCCCTCGCGGAGGCGACCGCATCTCCCTCAGTTGAGTCCGAGTGTCCTGCGCTGAATCTATTACGACTGGCTTGAGTTTCCTTGGCGAGTCTAAGCCATCTCCCCGCTCACTACCGCCGCTGGTGGGCGAGCCGAACGCCTCCGCAGCGGTTGAGCCACCGGTCGGCGACGGAGACTGTTTTCCGCCCCGTCCATCTCCTGCAGAAGACCTCCCGAGCGACAAGGTCGCACTGAGCTTTTCACGCGAGGAAGCGGGCTGGAGGGCCAGAGCCTGGAGGATTTCGCGGGACTCTGCCGCGAACGGCGCCGTGACTAGCTTTCCACCGGCTCCGGCGTTGCGAGTCTTGTTGCTAGCGCCGCCACCGCCGACAACCCCGATCCCTCCGCCTCCGCTCCCTGCCGGGGCCCCAGCGGCAACGGCAAGGGTAGCGGCCGCCTTTGCTACCAGTTGGGCCGAAGTCGACGTCAGCGCTGCCGCTGTCGATGTGTACAGCCGTCCTATGCGGTCGCTCGGGCGGAAGTACCCGGTGCTTGCAACGTCGGAGTATGCGGTCGGGACATTCGCTTGCCGGAGCCCCCGCGCTTGCGACAAGCTGTGGGAGCTCTTGTCGTGGGAAGCGGTGCGAATGAGATCGGCTGCGCTGGAGACCTTGGGGAGCTCGTAGAAGGAGCCCATCGAACCCAGCTCCTCGAGGTTGGCTTGCTTCCCGTCGCCGTGTTCTCTATGGTTTGACGTGATTGTACCATTGAAGTGTACACCGGTCTCCTCTGCAGGCCCTACAGCGTGGCTGTCGTCCAGATGGTTGGTGAACCTTGCTGTTACGGTGACAGGAGCGATATCGGTAGTAGTGGTGGTGGCAACCCTTTCCGCTTCTCCGCTGGTCCGGTCCTTGCGTAACGTTGCATTTTGCTCAATTTCAGAGGTGGAGGCTTCGGTTTGGAAACTCCGGGCTTTGGCCGCGGTTGCAGCAGCTTCGACGTTAGCCTTCCTGGCGGCGATAGACCCCTTCAACACACCGAATCGAGAAGTATTCCCGTACAATAACCTTGGCGCATTCTTCCCGAAAGAGCCTGCCGGTCCTTTGTCGGTGTCAGTGTTGTCGACGCCGCCTGCCTCGCGCTCAGACGATGCAAACATAGGCATGGGTTGGAACCGACCTTGTTCGTGCCAATCATGTTGTGGCTCCGCCATTGTCTTCGGTTATGGTACTTTCCAGTGGGATACCTTCGTGTAGATAGGATAGCCCGAGAGACCTCCTGGGGTGAGTGTTAGAAAGGCACGAACACATCGGGGAATGCCGTACAACCTTCAATGCTGCATACATCACGGTAGACTGAAGTAGACGATAATATGTATGCTCATCCGACAGATGTATATGCCGGAAGCTGAAATACGGCAGTTATTTTGCCAAACTGCAATTCTGACCTCCCCCTATGTTTCTGCACAGATACATACCCATTTAGATATGCATGATATCACACCCACAACAAGCTTTGGGTGTGCATGTGTACACTATACATGTAAAAGGGTAGAAATGTGTGCGCTTTTGGTACAATAGTACAGCGACCCAGTCCCTTCTCTGGTCAGTTATCGGAGGGTATCTTATGGGGTGAGTTTCACAACCACTCCTGTCGCATTGCAATGTCCTTGCTGAAGTGTGTGGCCCATGCAAGCACACCGCCCATGCACAAAATGTACACGATGCGGGAATCAAGTTGAACACGCCCTCAACTGTTGCGGGACTTGGCTGCGTGCACCTTTCAAAGCGCCATGATTTCTTTCTGCGATACTCTGATTCCAGTCTTCGGGCCTCCCGCCGCCATCCAAGGCAGCACGGTAGGACGTCCCTCCCGTGGTCGATCGTGCAGAGGAACAGGAGCTACTGCTATTGACCAGAAAGAGAGAGAGCGAGTTCGTTTTCGCGCCAAGCACGGCGTAAATTTGTGAAGCGTTACCTACGCCTCCCGAACCAAAGTCGAAACCTTCCCATCCAAAAACGCGGGGTCTACCGCGATAGCAGGGCACAGAGCAGCAGCGAGAGAGCAAGGGCGTCTGAGGGAGGGAGGAGGATAGACCGCAGCGGTGGAAAGCTCTGCATGAGAGGGAACTGCCAGCTGCTCGTAGATAGAGAGGATATCTAACGACCACTGCAGGTGAACTGTAGCCGGACCATAGGACGAGAACCTCAATCGTTGATGACGTTCGCCGGTGCGTGTCTTTGTCAACCCGCTCTCTCTTACTCTCTCCGCTGTCTGCCCGCTCGCTCACCAAACAGCAGGAAGTAAAGGGGGGGTATAAGGCACCAGCATGGGATGGGGTGTGACGCATAATAATACCGCTCGGTTGTTGTATTGCTTTTCCAAACACGTTGTATTGATCGGCTCTTTCCGTATCGCTGAGAGCGGGGCGACAATCGCCCCTTGTGTGCTTGCTCCCCCTTGGAGCAAAGGTGAAATCAAAACCATGTTGATGCCAGGCGCCTCGGCGGCAAGTGACGTCTGCTTATGCCTGGGCCGATATATTTTCATCAGCTCCGCTGTATAGCGCGATCTGCGCGATTGCAAGAGCACGTGATGGTTGTGTTGAGACCGTTTTCTCTACAGTGGCGTGTTCTGATTGGCCCGCCGTTGTACACGGACCGTCCCCCAGGCGGAATTAAAGAGGACTGGTATTGTACGCAAAGACAATAGTGTTGTCAAAACGACGTTCGTGGGCTGCTGTACGTTCTCTGTAGATCCATCACGCACGGCTGCTCTTTGAAAAACCGATATTGCCTTCCATAGAGCACCAGCCCCACGTGCAAACCACCCACACGTCTCCGTATTCATTCACACAGCCGTCGTTTTGTTTAGTGCACGCACAAGCAATCGTCTGTTGACAATTTCCGATCCTCTCTTCCACTAGGTTTTAGGGTACACTGCTTTGTAGTATTGGTGCCGGTGTTGGTGCTGGCGGCAGGTCAACGCGCCCGGATAAACCCGCCCGAAGGTTGCTGCTGCTTTCCACAAACCGCTGCCGGAAACATTGGTGTTACAGCACGGGCATACCGACCTCTTGCCCGTCCGTGCTACATGTTACGGCTGTGTGTAGAGTATGCAACGTGTGGGAGGTTTGCACGTGGGTTCTCTCTCTTCTTTATGTCTCTCTCTCTCTCTCTCTCTCTCTCTCTCTCTCTCTCTCTCTCTCTCTCTCTCTCTCTCTCTCTCTCTCTCTCTCTCTGTCTCATACACACACCTAACCCTTTGTACCCTTCCCTCGTGCCGCTCCCGTCACGCGCGGCAGAGCTTGGCCCCGCGTGGTCGCGTCCGTTCTTTAGCGGTCGGGGGCTCCCCGGGAGGACACGAAAGAGCCTTTTCATTGGCCAAACATTTCCAAATAAGACCGACCGGACGGTACGAGGCTAGTGCCCTCCTCAGACCTGCCATGGCGCTTGCCAAGGGCCAATCACTTGCATCGCTGCAGAAAGAGAAGGCGGCGGCGCCAGGCAGCACAACGGCGCCCGCAACAAACGCAGCGGCTGACGCGCCCGGTTCGGTGAGTCGAGTAGGAGAGCGTACATGCTTTGCATACTTTGAGAGCACGTGTGGTAGAACGAAGGGAGAGGGAGAGTGAGCTGGCGGGCATTTCTTAGCGCCGTGGACATGATGCACCCGAAGTTTATTGGTCGAAGCTTCATGGAGCAGTGCGTGGCTCACCCCTGCCGGTACAGAAGGGTCTTCCGTGTTTGACCATGGGGGGGGCGTACTCATTTGTTGCTTGCCGTAGTCATTTGACCATTGACCACGCGTCCCTTTCGAGACGGAGCACCGTTCCTACCCCTACTAGAGACACCACCAACGTTTGGGAGCTCTTTACGTTTCTGCCACAAACTCCATAAAAGTTTCTTGCACATCTTATCCCCGTCCTCTAGGGCCTCTTGTGCCCACCATCTATCCCCAATTATCGCGATTTTCCATGGGGGGTGGGATTCTGCGCCGGGCGGCTCCTCACCCGACATTCCACGCTGCTGTGCTCCAACAGGCCAGGAACATTTGTTCGGTTATTTCCGAAGCCATCCGTCTCTGTCCAACCTGTTCGTGTTACCTTTCTGTGGTCATTCGCTTTCGAAGGAGAAGCAAACGAGGAGTTTGCGAGGGAAACGCCACCTGAGCAGGCATTCGCCTGAACAATACCAGCGGTGCTCATATTGATTTATCCTTTCGTGCCTGTCGACGGCTGCGGAACGGGGCAGCGCCGGGGGGGGGGGGGGGAAGTTGGTCAGGCAAAACCTTTGATCGGCACGCAGGAACATGGGTGTTCACCATGGCTATTGTTTGAGTGAGGTCGACGGGGGCACGAGATATCGCGTAGGACCCCACCCACCCACCCACCCACCCAGCACCTATCCGCCGCCCCCCGGGTTGGCGACGAACAGGTGATCAACTTAGCTGGCGACGATGGGATACCTCCGGCCGCTGCGGCAGCGGTACCCCAGGGGCAGGCAACAGTGGCCGGTCGAGCTGCTGGTGTCTCCCCAGCGATGGCGGGCGCAAGCGGAGGAGGCGCCGCCCCTCCCCCCGTAGCTACGCGCCCGCGGGGGGGAAAGGGGCTGAACTACCTCCAGCAGCGCGCGGAGCCGGTGCGTTGTAGTTTTCGCCCCATTTTTTCGGCAGCTTTCTACATCAGCCGTGCTTCGCCTCTCTCTCTCTCTTGTCTCTTTGTCCCTCTATCTCTCTCTCTATCTCTCTCTCTCTCTCTCTCTCTCTCTCTCTCTCTCTCTCTCTCTCTCTCTCTCTCTTTCTCTCTCTCTCTTCCTGCTCCACGACGCTGTCGTCAAACATGTTGGCTTGTGTCACCGCATGTGATACCTCGTGGCATGCCAACCGCCGCTTGATGTTTGGTGTGACGCTCATACTTGTGGGTCGGTGCGACTTTTTTGTTTTGCTCGCGATTCTCATGTCCCTGGTCAGGCAAGAGTTGCGCAGCCGGCGGTGGCCGCGAGTATGCCGCAGCAGACGCAACCACAACAGGCCCCTCTTCAAGTGGCACAGCAGCAGCAGTTGCAAGCAGCGCCAGCCCAACACGCTGCTGGTGCTGTTCCACAGCAAGGGGTTCAGCAGCCCAATGTCCATCAGCAGCAGACCCTGCAACAGCAGCAGACACTGCAGCAGCAGCAGGCACTGCAGCATCAGCGGGCACTGCAGCAGCAGCAGCAGCAGCAACAACAACAGCAGCAGGTTTTGCAACAACAGAGAAGTCACCACCTTGCCTTACAAACCATACAGCAGCAGCGCCACCAGCAAGCCCAGGTTTTGTCCCAGCAGCAGGCGGCAGCGCAAGCACAGGTCCATGCGCTAGCACGCCAGCATTCTCAGCAGCAGCAGCAGCAGCAGCAGCAGCAGCAGCAGCAGCAGCAGCAGCAGCAGCAGGGAGTTGGGGTTGCCCAAGTCGCCGTCGCAGAACCAGCAGCCGGGGCGACTCAAAGCCCAGGCGGAGCAGCAGTGTTAGGCGTCCGTCAAGCAGGAGTGGTGACACCAGCAGGGCAAACGGCCCCCAGCCAGTACGTTCGAGCGTCGGAAGGGGCGATGGCTTGGGCGGCGGCGCAGCACGTGCCGCAAGTAGCAGCCCAGCAGCAAGCTGCTGCTGCCGCCGCTACTGCTGCCGCCGCCGCCGCCGTATCCGCACCCGCTGCTGCTATTGCTGCTTCAGCCGCTGCTACCGCTCAAGGACAAGCAGCAAGGGGTCAAGTTTCTGCGGCGACCCCCCAGGCATCGCCGGCCTTCGCCCACACTTTAGCCGTGCAGCATGCCCAAGCTCAGGCGCAGCAGCAGCAGCAGCAGCAGTTTACTCAGGCCCAAGCTGCTGCGACCGCTCAGCAACAACATCAGGTTGCCGCACATTTGGCCCAGCAGCAGAAGATGCAGCTGCAAATTCAGCAGCAGCAGCAGCAGCAGATACAGCAACAGCAGCAGCTACAGCAACAGCAACAGCTACAGCAGCAGCAGCAGCTACAGCAACAGCAGCAGCTACAGCAACAGCAGCAACAGCAACAGCAACAACAGCAGCAGCTACAGCAGCAGCAGTCATACACCGCCCAAGCTCAGCAGGTACAAGCGGCAAAAGCCGAGGAAGAGCGAAAGAGGACGCTTGCGGCAGCGGCGCAGGCCCAACTCGACGCCACGAAGCGACAAGCCGCCCTGCAGGAGCAGGCCCAACACTCTCAGCGGAATCAGCCAGTCCATCAGCAGAACAAGAAGGAGGCAGTGGCAACCCCGCAAGCTCAACAGCAGCAGCAGCAGCAGCAGCAGCAGCAGCAGCCGCAGCAAGAACAGCAGCAACAGCAGTGGAGAGGTAGAGTACGCACGTCCAAAGGGTGGCTTATAGCGACGTTTGCTAGGAGAAAAATCTTTGCGTTGGCGTTGTCGGTGGGGGGGGGGGGGGTGATGTACCCTCACCTTCCTATTTAGCAAACGGAAACCCGATCGAAAGGTGTTCGGTCCTGGCTCTGCAGTAGCTAAGCAAGGGTCTTCGGCCTTGCAAAAACGTCTGCCTGAAACGAACGGCAACCTCCCCCCGCCACGCACACTCCCCTAGCCGCGCCTGTGCTGCCCCGAAAGAAACGGTGTTGGCATTTTTTAGCCCCGGGGTGAAAGCTCGGCAACTCGTCGCATATATATGTCAGAGCCAAACGTGCCGTGTATGGTCGTGTATCTGGTGCTCTGGCGTCTGACACGGGTTGGAAGACGAAAGCGGCGGGACTCCGCGCACGATGAGCCGCCACGGCCGATGATGCCCCACCGCTCATCGTCTTTCTCTACCGCTGTGTCGCTACCGCGACCGTCATCGTGGCAAACACGTGACAGGACCTTTTGGTGTCAGATGGTGCTTGATTCCGCACATGTAATGAGCGCCCGCACGCCTTCGATGGTGGTGGTCGTGGTTTGTTGGTTCTCTACCGGCGGTGTACATACCCACCACGCACCGTTTGTTGGTCCTCTACCAGCCGTGTACGCACCCAACACGCACCAAGAAAAATCCCGTGTGTGTCCGCGTCCCCCGCCGGCGCGGTAGATAGCGTAGCCGCCGCGCTATCGCCGCTGGTATTGTTGATCCCCCGCCGGCCGTGTACATACCCACCCAATTATATATGCCACCCAAATATACTACACATGTAAACCTACCCTTGTGTCTCCGTTTCCCGCGCTGCCGGCCCGGCAGATAGCGTTGCCTCCGCGACGGCTGCCGGGGGTGGTAGCGGGGCGGCGAAGTCGATGGCCGGGATGAAGCCACTGCACCCGGTCGTGGTTCCCCCGGTGGAGCCCGAGCCGAAAGAAGCGAAGCTGGTCGGGCCGATGGTGAGCGAACGTGATGTTTTGCTGCTGCTGCTGCTGCTGCTGCTGTTGCGGTCGCTTGTTTGTTTCCAGCGGGTTTCCGACCACAGACAGGAAGTGTTGGTTTCTTGTCAGATGTGCCCCACGTTGAAGCGGCTCGTACGGACTCGTGCGTTATCCCTCGAAATTCGTAGCCAATAATAACCTGCTTTAAAGATAGACAGTTTTCGTCATTGGGTTTCGTCGGGTCCATGGTGTACTATTTAGTTTTCGGCGCACTACTGTTTTTCGTCCCGTCAAGATGTCGCGTTTTTTCTTTTCTTTTTTTTCTTCGTCAGAATGGCATGCGATTGCCAGCGTTGATGAAGGAGGTGGACCCGGCCTACACCCTACACCCCGATACGGAAGAGGTGTGTCAATAGTGCTTAATGCCTGATACATATGCTATATCAGCGTATATATGTATGTGTGTGTAGTACGAAGGCCTCGTTAGCGTAGCTTCTGTATAGCCTGGTTATCACCGCATGCATGTATGCGTGTGTGGTACAAGTTCCTTGTTGGCGTAGCTTTTGTAAAGCCTGGTATCAGCGCATGCATGTATTGTGTGTGTGGCACACAGGCCTTGTTAGCGTACCTCCTGTGTAGCCTGGTACATCAGCGTATGTATGTATTTGTGTGCGGTACAAACGCCTTGTTGACGTAGAATCTGGTTGGCCTGGTGCGGTTGGTTCACAACTGCTCCGAAAATATTCCCCGAACTTTCTTTGACCTGTTACGGAATTGAAGGGTTGGTATTTTTTTTTTCGTGACTGGAGCTCCGGAGTTCTCGATGTCTCGATAGGCTCAACATCGACCTGTTTCAAGCCGCTGGAAAGTTTGGGGAATGGAGGCGTGTTTGCCTGCCTGCCTGCTCCGGCCTTCGGAGTGGGTACTTGGCGTCCAACTGCTCTGATACCAACCTGTTTCCAGTTGATTGCATGCTTCCTATTGTAGTGTTAGTTCCTTTGTATACGTCGTTGCTCTCAGTTACTGGTTGTTTGCGGGGCGTTTTAACTGGTTCCTCCGTGTATTTTTCATTTTGTCCGTGTACTTGGCCGCCGGTTACCGGTTGTTTTCAAGGCGTATTACCTGCTTTGTGTCTTATTTTTGTTGTTGTTTTTGCCCTTGCTTGCCTGCCTGCTCTTGTCTCTGACTCTGGCCCGCTTGGCCTCCGGCCCGCGCAGCTGCTGCTGGCACTTGCCCAAGACCACATCGAGGGGGTGGCGGCTGCGGCGGTTGAGCTCGCTCAGCACCGAAATTCGGACACTGTCGAGCTGCAGGACCTCCAGCTGTGTTTAGGTGAGACTGATCAGGCAGGTTAGACACACACAGGTTCGGACATAGTCAAGCGCGTTGTCATTTCCAGCCTCCAGTACGCTTCATCTCGCCTTGAAGACTGCAACACTTTCGTTCGTTTCACGTAGAAAAATGAAGAAAAATGTCGCCTTTTTTTCGGTGGGTGCTCAGTACACACCAAGACCCCCCGGCGGAAAACTTCACATCTGTAGTTCATTTTCAACTTATTTTAGTACAAATAGTTTTTTTTTTTCGTTTCGACCACCACCTGCAGAGAAAGACTGGGACATGCCATGGCTGGGCATCGGAGCCCGGAAGATGGCGGGCGCCGAGAGAGAGACGAAGGTCGGCCGGGCAAGGCTCAACACAGCCATCGCAGCGGAGAGGGTGAGGAAAAGGCAGCGCGAAGTTTTGATGTTTACCGGCTGGCCGGCGCATCGCTGATCCTGCAGCGCATGTATAGGCTTTGCACAGGCTGGAAATAAACAAGTCCTGAAGACTTGCTGAGCAGGCTGTTATGAGGACTTGTTGAGCAGGCTGTTATGAGGACTTGCTGAGCAGGCTGTTATGAGGACTTGCTGAGCAGGCTGTTATGAGGACTTGCTGAGCAGGCTGTTATGAGGACTTGCTGAGCAGGCTGTTATGAGGACTTGCTGAGCAGGCTGTTATGAGGACTTGCTGCTGTGAAGACCTCGACGCGTCCCGTCGATTGGGGCTTACTATTTTCTCGAACGTATGGTATTTGTTGTGCGTGTACGTTCTAGTATTGAAGGTGCACTCCGTTGTGTGCGGCTTGACTGTAGCCGGTACTATTCATTGCGGAAATTTAAGTTTGGTCGTTGTGTGGGAATATCCATAACCCGTGTAGACGATGCAGCTGCAATGCAGTCCATTGTGGAGGCTACGGGGGGGGGAGTAGGACCAGGATTGTCTTTTTGTTGATTCTAGAACGTTAAGGCTCGGACTGCGCGTTGACACAGGAAATACTAAATGAAACGTGTGGAGGGGGGGGGGGTGGCGAAGTCTTGCCTAGTGTTTCTATTTGCGTGTTGCGCGGGCTTTTCCTCGAATGCCGTCGAAGGGGCAGCAACACTGTTGTGCAAAGGTAGACGTACTCTTATATTCGAGTGTTTGTGGTGCACGTCGTCGGAGGCTCCGGGTGGCGCACGAGCCGCCGCCGCGCGACATCGGCGCAAGGATTAGCAGCGGTGTGCGTGGGATTGGTTCCGGCTCGAGCTGTCGAATAACAACGATGGGAAGATCCGCGTGTGCTGGCCGAAGTCCTCAAGCACCAAGTATGTTTCGGTGACCCTGGCCCCGAGGGTTCCGGCCGTGCTGCTTTGTTGGACGCTAGAGAGTGTTCTGTCGTAGCCTTGGTTGGGAGCAACGGCAAACGTTGTGTTCTTTTTTTCTTAGGATCGAACGAGGACGCTAAAGTATGTCGATGCCCCCCCACCGTCAATTCGTGTCTACCGGCAGGCAAAATCCGCATCTTCTAGCGGGAGTGCTTCTGCCGCCTGGCGAAAAAAGGCGTCCAAAAGGAGGAGCGCCGAGTCAGCGGCAGCCGCAGCGGCGGCGGCGGCGGCTGCTGCTGCTGCTTCTGCATCAAACAGCGGTGGAAGCGGAGGCGGTGGCGGTGGCTCCTCCACGGTCAAGAGACCGCGGCAAACGGAGGCCGGGGCGGGGGCCGCCGGCGGAGCGGTCGGCGGCGGGGCAGTAGAGGTGCAAAGGGCGCGCTGAGAGCTTGAGTGGTGTGGCGGAGCAAAGAGATGAAGGCGTCCTGCTTAGTTCTTGAACTGCGCGGCTGATGCCGGATCAAGAGGGGGACCAAACGAGAACGCATGAAAAGCGGAAGTATTTTATAGACTCTGATGTTTGGCGTAGATCGGGCAGAGGGACGAGCGGATGTATGTCGGACGACCGCATGCTCGCGCAGAGACATGCAGCAAGCGCCGCGCAGGAAAGTGAAGGTGGGATGAAGGGCAGTCTTATGTGTGACCTTCTTCCTGGCAATATGTACCGTAAGGCGTAGCAACGGAGGTCGGGAACAAATGGAAACGACCAGCAACACCTGGGGTCCCAGAGCATGGCGCCTCTAGAAGCGTTTTCCGTTGTTGGCCGCCGTAGTGAGACTGACTGACGTGATTTCATTGGTCAGCCAGTTTCACCGCTGCGATGCTCTTCTTCTTGACCGTACTATGTTTCGTAGTCTAGACGCTTCACACGAAACTAAACAGTGATTCCGATGGGAAAATAAGAGCAAGTGTAGTGGCACAGATCACTGTCCGACGGAGGGAAGAAGCTCTCACGGCAGGTGGGGAAGGTGTTTTGAAACGATCGCGCGTGCACCGGGCTCACCAGCGGCCCCGGGCTGTACAGGCAAGGGTGAAGAGGATTTTTTCCCAGCGCGCAAACAACGCCGCATTCATTCACTACCGGTGACACCGCGCTTGCCGCCACCACCGACCATGAGCGAGAAAGCAGCACCATCAATTGGCCGAAAACTTCAAGACGAAAATCCGTACCATGGTGTTCTTCACACGTGGGCATACGTTGTATTCGTGGCATGGACACCAGAATTTCATAGCGTTCTATGTAGCGAGAGGTTTTTCACAGAATGACAGCCACAAACTTGTGTTGACCGCCTTTGCGGTAATGCGGTGTTGGCCAGCACTGACAACCTTTGTTTGAAACACCCTCAGAAAGCAGTTTTCCCGCCTAGTATGCCTTCATCACAAAGCCGAGCAGAATCATTGCCGTTTCAAGTCCCACGTGTCGTGTCCGCTAGATGTGCGGTAGCATCCATGTACATCGTCACGCGCTTTTTGGCGGAACTTCGTGCGCCCTCTCTCGTCCCGTCTTTCGAGCGAACGAGTGTGGCATTGTCGGACGTGTTCTTTTTCCTGGAATAAAAACTGGCAGCAGAGTACTCTTGGAGCAGACGACAGCCTACAGCAAGCCAACGACTTCACCCAACCAACACAGACGTGGTACACGAAAGCGCTGGCTCAAGGGCACACGAGAAAGCGCGCCACACCCCCAGCACTGCACGTGCGCGTGCGTGTACGCGGGTCGCTTTGCTGCTCGCGTGTGCATGGAAGGATTGTCGTTGTTTCAGAACAGACCGAGCCTATCGTACGTGCCTGTAGCCTTCTCTCACCACTCACCACTCGCCACACACACAACACACACACACATACGTGCGACTACTGTGCTGCCTTCGCTGCTGCTGGCGATGCGGCTGAAGCCGCGGGTGTGGCGCAGTAACAAGATCATCCCCCCCTCGAAACGACGGCTACTGACCGAGAGCAAAACATCTATTAAGAAAAACGACCAGCAACGAAAAATTCATTTTGATAACAGGGTTGCCAGCGTACCCCCCCCCCCCTTCAACTAGAGCTTGCGCGGTCGGGAATGAACACAATCGCCTCTTTCTTCGCAGCTTTTACGAAACAGGGAAGAAAAAGAAACAAATGAAAAAAAAACGACACGCGCTTTTTCCCTCTCGCGTATCGCCACACCCTCCGCTTCGGTCAAAAGACGGGAGATCAGAACCCGCAAAAACCTACGACTCTATAATACCTTCACACAAAAACTACTAGACACGGGGTGAGATAGGCGGCCCGCGTCAACACCCATGATTTTGATTCCACGAAGTCATCATCACAAAAAACGATCCCTTGATGCAACCCTCAACCTTACCCCGAAATGACCCACACCCGAAATCCCCGCTCCCGCATGCCGCCAAGAAACCAAACACTAAAATATGCCGAATTTATGTTCTCGGGCGCACGCAGTTTATCAACACTCGCTCTACGCTGGTAACAACCCTTCCACTTTTGTTTCTGGATGTCTTAAAAGGGTACGCGAAACATGAAAGACAAAGAGCGATAAATCTAGCCTATGCTAACGAACCAAGCCAAACGACAGATCAACACATCCATAGGCCATGCTGCAGGCAAGACGAAAACAAAACCACCAAACTCCCTCCCCCACCTTCCTCCGATTCCTCCCAGCAGGAAGGCAGGTGTGCCAGCCAACAAGCGACCGATGATTCACCACGTTGCTCAGCGACCAGGCCGCTACTTCTGCTGAGCACGTCACGCCACCTGGTATGAAACGGCGGAGCTCCCTCAGTGGGAAAACACCACCACGACAAAAAAAAAACTAGACCACGGAAGCCGAATCCGGCCCCCCCCCCCTTTTTGGCACACATTGGGGGGGGGGGGGGGTTAACACGTTGAGAGATCGGCACCCACACGAGGAGAGAGTCAGAGAAGACGAGTTTGGGGGTAGAGCTCGGAGCATGCCACTCGCCGCCCGAAACGCCACAGGGGGATCCGCACATACACTCCAGGTGGATCCGCACATACACTCCAGGGGGATCCGCACATACACTCCCCCCCCGCCCGTGCTGCCCCGCCCTCGCGTCCTCCTCTCCTCCCTCCCGGCTTCAACGCTATCGACTCTTCCCCCTCCTGCCCTTGTGCGGACAACGGAAAAGAGCGTCAACCACAACACCCATCCCACGATCCTCACGCATGCTGCCAACCGTAACCTTCCCACACGATGCTACTCCTACCAGACGCGGTGGCCGGCCGGCCCCAACCTTCCTTCCCTTGCCTCCTTCCGGCGAACTCCGAGCCCGCCCGCCTAAACAAATGCGCCAAGCTCTCAGTCCACTCAAGAACAACAAGTGACGGCTTGAGCGTTATAATCACAATTACTTTTTAAACGCACCGTAGTTCCCCTATATCCCCGCACCCCCCCCCCTTTGGGCCATCGCCTTTCCACACCAACTTTGGGAAAAACGCCACAACATTTAAGGCAGGGTGGGGGACAAAAAGTAATCTCCCCCCCCCCCCCTCCCCCCCTTCCCTTTTTTTACGCAAATCGCCTGGATCAAAACTGCTCCGATGCTATCTCGTCATTTTGGGTAGTACTGAAGTCGGGAATCGTCGGCAGCAAACGGGGAAACAAGTCGAAAAAAAGCAAGGGGCGACGCGGACAGTGGGGCAGTGGGGGGGGGGGAGGGGGGCGATGTCACGTCGTGTTTGTAAACTACGCTGTTTGTAGCGACACATATGCATACGATGGCATGTAACGTCATCCGTCTTTACACCTAGCTTGAATAACGGCTCTGCAATTGCCGACCGTAGCGGCAATGACACACCCACCACCCAGGGACTTGATCACCCACAGGAACGCCGAGGAAAAGCAAAACCCCGTCTTCGCCACCGCCATTATCACCACCAAAACAGCAACAGCACCACCATCGCGCAACAACTGCATGCAACAACAACGGCCGGCAAACAGCGCGACTACCAACACAAACACCACAACACTACAGAGGCAGCAGCTTACGTACGTACAACAACAACGACAACGACAACGACACACCCAGAAGCCCTTACACGCCAACATCGAACACTTCCACCACAGCAACAAAGGCAGCAGCTTTCGACAACAACAACAACAACGCCAGCCCCATACACACCACTACACCACTACACCACCACAACAAAGGCAGCAGCCATGTACAGCAACACCCACCTTCTGCTGCCCCTGAAAGATAGGCGACGCCGGCGGCTGCGCCTGGCCCGAGTGACCCGTGGCTCCCCCGAGCTGGACGTCGCACAGGAGCATGATGTGGTCCGAGGAGGACTGCACGTTCGGCAAAGCGATGCCGCACTTCATGATGTCCTCCGCCGTCGGAACCTGAAAGAACAAAATCGACATTGTTGCGCTTGGGGTCGCCTATCTGCATATGTAGGACGAGGGGACTCCGGGGAAATGGCTGGGCACGCTTAGGGTTTCAAGTGTTTTTTCACGACTAAGGCCATCATGAGGTTCACAAGGTTAATCTTGTGGACGAGGTTTAGGGCTTGGGGGAAGAGACGTGACATGGTACGGCCTCGGGCTATGCAAAGTGTCTACCATAAAACTGGGTGAGGACGAGGGTGCGCACCAGGGCTACAATGGCCCTCTCATCAACTGCATCATCACCTACCACCAACAACAAAACTCCACCACCACCACCACCACCACCACCACCACCACCTACGAACAACAACAAAACCTACCAACACCAACACCAACAACACCATCAACAACAACTAACAC